CGCAAGCCGCGCGCGCGGAAAAGTCCGGGGTTATGTAGACATTGCGCGACGTACCTGAGAGAGAGAGAGAGAGAGAGAGAGAGAGAGAAAGAGAGAGAGAGTGAGTAATCACGCATAGTACCTGGCTGCTGGCATAGACGATCGATTACCGTATAGCCGCGCTATGCACACGCCGCTGTACGCAGTACCCGCCGCCATGTACCGCAACTACGTGACAAATATTATCGCGATCGACCGACCCGCTGCGTTTGATGTGGACGCGTTTATGAAATGCCGACACGCCGATAATCATGCGCGCGGCCAGCGCCCAAGGCTAAATCCGATTTGTAATATTAATCCCGGCGTAGCACCTCTCTCTTTCTCTCTCTCTCCGTCTGTCACATTTCGTCCCGCGATTCGATATATATTTTCAACTGAGAAACACCGATATATCTCGTAAAAAACTTTTAATCACAAACTGAGTGATTATATAATTTTACGACAAATATATACAAATTTATACGATTTCGCACAATTTGTATATATATGTAAAATTATTACACACTCCCGGCTAATGATAGTGAAACAAAGTATTATCGACGCGTTAACGATACTATCGCGTGTGTGTGGGCGCAATCCAAGAGACAAAGTTAATTTCCGCTTTGTCTATAGAAAATTAGTTGTTGTGCACGATGGCGGGCGCGAGAACGAGGCGGGTTGATTAATGGCGGAAATAAATTTATCGCGGAAGTGTTGTTTTTTCCGATAGATATTGTTCTGATTACGGCGCCGTATCGCGGGGATCGAGTGTTAGTGATCTGCGTTTAAAGCGCATAATAAACAGCTTGTACAAACACAAGCGGAAAAGCCTGTGCTTTTAGCACTAAAGCGTCGAAACAAATCTGCGCCTCTTTGTGAGGCTAACTTGTGCCAGGTAGCGGGAGAAGCGTTCTCCAAACACACTGAGCTGCTGTTATGCGTGCGGCCAAATGGATCGGGAGATATTTAGTTGATTTTGGCTCCTGTACAGATCTCGTAAGATCGCAACAGCTGCTCGCTGTTGACGTACGTATAGTGTTGCGGACTTAACCGAGTGACATTTTAGTACACGCTCGCTAATTGCTTCGTCCGCGCGCTGTGCTTCACAATTTCTACGAGTTTGCCAAACGTTTTCGCGCTCATCAAACTTGACATTAAGACAAAACAAAAATCTCCTAACCAAGCTGTACACTTGAAAGCTGGAATTGCGCTCGCAATTTACGCAATGACTGTTTTATATTAACGAATTTAAGTAAAAATTCAGACTTGTTTTATTACAGCAAGTAAAATTTTGATTTCACAGCTGACTGTAAATTAAATCAACATTCTCGAATTTGAATCTTGCTTCAACGGAGAATATTCTCACAGATATAATTTCTGATATGCTTTACTATGCGCAACCATTAGCGTGCAAAGGACTTTAGCCGCGTCCTCGGAAATTCTCATCTGTCGCCGCCGTCGCCGCCAGGCGGTACAGTTTTGAACCAACGACGATGTACGCGTCTCATGATGTCGCGAATCTCGTGATGAAGCAGGCAAGCAGGCCAGGCAGGCAGGCAGGCAGACAGGCAGGCACGCGTGGACGCTCGAATGAAGAGACGACTGTACGTGTGTGTCGTTTCGTCGTGCCCCCTCTGTCTCGTTTCCTCCGCCGCCTCCACCCGCTGCTGCCGCGCTCGGCCGCGCGTTCCCGTTCTCTCGCTCTAACCACCCCCGCTGTCCCCGCTGTACCCCCCGAGTGCCATGCCAACCAACGTACCGAGGCCGTTTTCGCTTTGTGCGCGCCGGGGCGGCGGTACATCAAAGCCTTCTAGTTCCCGCTCCGGCCTTTGACGGTCGCGTCGCGGCCGCTCGCTCAGTCATCGCTCGGTTGTAGGCGATGCCGGCGCGTCGTAGATGAGCGGCTCGCGCGCGCGCGCGCGCGCTTTCGCACGAGGAGCGCGGGCTCCTCGGGATCTGGCCGCGAATTCGCCGTCCATCGCGCTTACTCGTCGAGTAATCTAGGCTTGTAAAAACCCACGAGTCTCTCTCAGTTTACGTTATTGTTCACCGAGTATACACATATTTCTCGTATGATCTCGTGGCGATCGTAAACGCGACGGGATCGTGTAATGTCGCCTCGCGGTGACAAGTGCGCGCGTGTCAGCAAAGTGGCTACCAAAGGGCGCCAAGTGCGCGGCCAGCACGACACTTTGGAGATCGCGCAAACCGAAGAGACGACTTCAATGAGGATGATGACGGTGGTGACGACGGCGACAATAATCGCGACGACGAGTACGACAACGACGACGATGACGTCAAGCGGAACGGTAGTCGTAGCGACGAGAATGGACAAGCCCGCGGTAACGGCAGCATGCAACGAGGGTCGATCGCAATGGACCGGGCGCATGCGCCAGGCCCTGGAGAGCAGCTCCGAGCCAGCTCGTGAGAACGGTGCCCCGGTGCATCGTTACCCGGAGAGGCAGCGACGACGTGAGAAACACGTCGTAGGAAGGAAACATCGAGCGGCCAGGAACGCTGATAATAACGCCATTGTTGATTCTTCGTTCTCGTCGGCGTCATCGTCACCGCCGATACTCTCCTCGCCGTCTTCTTGCGCGTCCTCGTGCCGTTCGACCTCCCCGCCGTCCGGCACCTCGTCACCCGCGCGGTTCTCCACTTCGTCAGTCACGAGCGATCCGCTAGCGATCAAGTCAGCAGCCGAGGGCAGCCGAACAGAAAATACACAACCTGATCACAACGACAACAACGGAATCGGAAAGTGGAAACAACGTAACAGCAGCAACGAACGAACGACTCATGGAGCAACGAAAACGACGACGTCATCGGTGTCAACTACCTCCTCTCCAATCACTTTGTCTTCTTCGTCGCCGTTTCCCTCTTCTGTGTCCTCGGCGTCTTGCCGCACGTCGGCAACGACGACGCGCAGCCACAGCGGTGATTCCCACAGCGTTGCAGCGTCCGCTTCCTCCTCGTCCGCTCTTGAGAGACTGAGAAATGCTTTGGAGAACTACGATCGCAGTCGGATCTATCTTGCCCATGTCTGCTACCTGGACTGGCGAGATCTGCCGGGTAAACGGCGCGGCAGGGACGATGTCGGCGGTCGTGACACAACGACGAAAAGCAGCGAACGGATTTGGGTGGTGGGGGCTGCGGATCACGAGGGTCACCATCGTACACGATTGTTGGTAGCTGGCCGTCACTGGCGACCACGTTGCTTACGCAAGGTCAACATGCTGAGCCAGCCGGTAGTGTATGCAGGTGGCGGCAGGGGTTCCTTAACCGCCGACCTCTTTCTCTGGTGGTTTCATCGCGAATTTGCCGTCTCGGCGATGGCGATGCATCCGGACGGCGCTGTGTTGGTGGCCGAGACCGCCGATTATTTGCCACCTGAAAATGATTGTGTCGCCGCTGACGGTCTGGTGCGACTTTTCGCTGTGCCGAAGGATTGCATGGAAACGCGACTCGTAGTCCGAGAACTGAGAGTGCGATTGGCCACCGGGGTGCTGTCAAGAGTACGCTGTGGTGTTTATCGCGACAAATCCTCTGGCTCGCCCGAGGAAGACAGTGATCATAAGCTAGACGCGTACCTGAGAAGATTCACATTGAAAGAGGCGTTCGCGGATCTTCATCTCGCCTGGCTTAGCGTCCGATCGGAGACTTTTGCTCGTAGCTGGACGTTGCCGTACGAACGCGAAGATCACTCGTGCAACGGCGCCATATTGTCATCTAGGATCCACGCGGTTGATCAGGAGGAGGATAGAATGTTGCTCGTTGAATTGCAAAGTCTCGCGAGAGAAGCCGGATTAGAAGTTGGCGATGAAGAACTGAGCAAATGGATCGTTGACGAGGAGAGCGCGCTTGCGCGTCTTGTTAAGAAGAGGGAACCAGAAGAGGAACACTGCCAGGTGAAAATTGAGGCGGAAGACAAATGGTCGAATCGTAATGGCGACGAGGACGAGGACGGGAACGACGGCTTTGAGGAAGACGACAACGAGGACGAGCCTACGGCCGAGGAGGCTGTTGGGCTTCTCTCAAGGGTACTAACCTGGATGGAAAGGGAACCTCTTGATCCAGGACTTCTGCTGGCAGTCAGATCGATGCGTGACACCGCCGCACTTATGGTAAGCACCGCGGCTGATAAGAGACGCAACCACTCGACAGTCTTTATATCGATCGTCTATGAGACGAGAAGAGGAGGAGAGAGGTAGGAAAAGCAGGAGAAGCACGAAGAAACAGAGAAAGAGTGGGATAGACGATGAAAAGAGGGGATTCGCGAGCGCAATCTTACAAGCAGATTGAACTAATTTTATCGACTGTCACTTGACAAGAACGGCCAGAGAGTGAGAAAGAGAGAGGATAGGGAGAGTTGAAGAAGTGGCGGGTGGGTTACACTGCCTTCCCTCGATAAGGCCACTCGAATTTGATGATACGTCGAGGCGAACGGACGGAAAGGTCGAACGAACCCTCGAACTTCGAGAGAAGTACATTTCCCTTCCCTCTGTACCCCTCCGTGTTCCGCCTTTGCAAATTAACGCTTAAGCTGGTCCTTGACAAGCACTCCCCTTCGGAGTGAATCGGATTAGATATTGTGTTTCTTTTCCGATTCGTCAACTGCAAATCCTCGGTGTTATCCTTGCGCCTTTTGCGCCGTTACCACATATAAACATAGTTGTAGTCATTTTATGATGTATGCAATATCATGCATACATCATACACAGGCCCGCGATAAAGAGCAATTCTTATCCGTAAAGTGTAAATAAGAAGGCAATCGCAGATAGATAATATTGTCTCACTAACAATACAAAAAGGCAAATAGTACTTTGTGCATTATTCGCACACGTGTGCGTTAATTAATAGGTATTAAAAAAAAAAAAATGATCTCAAATATTTTGTTTCTCAATATTGACGTTTTATCAGATACGATCCGACACAAGACGGAGTAACTAGGATATTAACATTAGGTTTGCTTTGTTTTGCAGGCGAGTAAGATGGGTCTGGCGGGAACACATCCGAGTGGATTGCCATTCTTTTGCCCGAACGGAGATCATCTGACGCAACCACCGCCCGCCCATATGGGCATACCTCCTTACGGGGCGCTGGATGCGGGCAAAGCGGCGGCCGCAGCCGGTAAGTATTGTTTATCATAAGAGCGTTGATAAGATTTGCACGATAATGAATCTATCGGATGTCTCTCTCCGAGAGATTTGATCAGATCGAAAACCAAAGATCTTGAAAAAACGTCTCTTCGCATATTAACGAATTTTTACGACATCTTATTTATTAACCGTCAAGAGATTTTTTCTTTCAAGAGATTCTTTCTATTGAAAATTTATAGAGAAAATTTCTGATCAAAGCGATATCTCGAAAGTCGTTTTGATCAGTATCTAACGGCTATATGTTTGTATATAATAGCGTTAATAAAATCTTGTTCGCTCACTCTCGGCGTGGGATGTGAAACTTCCGCGTTGCCGAATACGCCGCACGGCTATCTCGACACCCTAATGTGTATTGGTTGAATCAACAATTCTTTCACGAAGTTAATCCGCTATTGTCCGGCCAAATATTGACGTTCCTCTCAAATTGTAATTGATGGAATACTTCTCATCCCGCGCTTGCAGTAATCGACGCGCTTTGCCCCGTCGAAAGAGAGAGAGCTTTATATATAATTTTATTGTATCGAGCTGGGCAAATATTAACATGGCCGCTGCAACCCAACGCGAGCTAGTCTGGCTTGCGCCCCGGCTTTTGCACAAATCGTTTGCGATTGCGTTAATGTTACGTTACTCTTTGCTGCAGTAATTCAATAGACAAAATACTGAATTACAATCAGCAAGCGAGAATATGACTAAATTCAGAGTGAACGAAGTAACATTTCTATACAGTGTCAAATTTAAGCTTCCGGAATATTTGAAGTGAAATATTTACCGTAATCATGTTTAACTTTTTCTTCTGCTACTTACATATATACGAACACGTAATGGCTGTTCCGAAGTCGAGTTAAACGATATGCGCAAAATATAAGCGCAGGATGTAAGCGTGCATAGACAAAACAATTTTAACTGAAATAGCAAGAAGATCAGTTACCACATGGCCAGCAAGAAAAATTTGCTGAGCTTATTAAATTTGTTGCTTTATCAACAAAACATTGTGTTAGTAAAAAACAAAAACTTCAGTAGCAACACTTAATAGTAAAACTTTTCTTTTGTGTCGCAAACACCAATAATTCGATTTTCAAAATAAAAACATATTTTTTTTTTGTCAAGTCAAGAGAGAGTGTGTCACGATGTTTCTGAAATTTAAATAAAAGAAGGCTGTAGAGAAAAGGATCCTTGAAGAACAGAATTCGCGATTAAGAGAGATTGTGAAGAAGAAAAAGAAACAGAGAGAGAAGAAAGAAAAAAAAGAGACTCGCGAATTGGCATCAAGTACGAGAATAAATTACGGACTCTCTCTCTCTCTCTCTCTCTCGCAATTAAACCAAAATCCATTCGAACGTATACATGTGGTCTTTTTCTCTCTAACATCAGTTTGCTTCTATTTATATCCTAATAAAATCCAGCAAGTTGATTTATTTTTCGATTTTTCCGATTTTTCCGATTTTTCCTCTTCTGCAATTATCGTCAAAATACTTTAATAGTAAAATCCGTCAAAAAGACAGCAACCAATTTTGCTACCAATCTGCCGACAGTGTTTATTGGATACAGTCGATACATCGTCAGCTAGTAGACGCGACCTTGAGAAAAAGTTTCAAAGTAGCGTCATACCTTAGAGAGTGTCACTTCTACAAACTACGCGTGTTTTAGAATAAATTTTTGTCACATCATTTTTGGTAGTTTTCAAAAGAAAAAAAACAGTGTGTACTACCTCGAAGGGTTTTTCCTTCAGCCGCGAAGAAACACGAGCAGACGCTGTTGATGTGTTCCTCCCTCTCTTTCATTCTTCTTTCTCGCGCACGATATTCTTTACCCCTTAGACTCTGAAATATGTAGATGGGGCTGATAGCGTTTATGCACGACTACGGCGGCCGGGGTCTTTGTCTTGCAAACGAGCACGACCGTCTCTCCCCTTTGCGGGGATAAACCGAGACCCGACCTCACACCGCCTCTCTATGCAGCCTCCTTCGTTGGCCACGACGGTACCCCACTCTCGATATCCCTCCAAACCCGCCGCCCTCACTTTTCGCCCCCCTTTTCTTCCCCTCATTTCGTACTGCTAGCCGAGTGCTCACAGCTCCGACTTCCCTTTCTCTCCGTTCATCGTCTTTCTGCTCAGCTCCTCTGTTTCGTTCTTCATTCGCGCGCTCTTTATGTTCATTTCCTATCGACATTTTTCTCTTTTTCTTTGTCCTCGTTGTTTTACACGAATCTTCTGCGTGTTTGGAAAATGAGCGGAGGGGAAGGAGTGGGTGTAATTTTTTTCTTCTCCAAATATATTTCTAGTTAGCTTCGTTTTTGCTGATCTTCGCTGCGCGTTTATTTCAGAGAATTTATATAGCGACGGGGATGGCGAATGAAAAGAGGGCAAAAAGGGTGAAAAGACGAAGGGAGAGGATGAGATGTAAAGAAGGTAGAAATGGCTGCCGACGACGGTCCCAGCCAACGTTTCGTTTCGCCAGGGCTTCACTATTGATCTGCTTAATTTCTCTCTCTTCCCATCGTGATTCTCGTTTAACCTCTCCTCTCGTTTCCGTCCTTTCACTGGATATATTCGTGCGCTCTCTTTTCATTATTTTATTTTCCCCCTTTACTTTTGTGAAGTTATCTTGCTCGTGAAATTTTGTTTATTGTTCCAATTTTTTTTTCAAAGATTCTGAAATTTTTGGTAGACAGCTTCGACTGAATTAAGTCCGTAATAAATCAGACATTTGATGATATAGAATGTAAATTTCATATTTTCTGAAAAATATAAATATAAAAGAGCGAGAATCAACAATCAATCAAGTTAATGTATTTTCCTACAATAATTGTATTGATCCTTTCGAAAATTGGTTAAGGTTGATTTTTGTCCTTATTTCTATTGCGCTCGTTCAATTTCCTAGTCCAGTACTACCGGCTTCCGGAAACTCGATAGTCGGAATTCACGATGATAGAGCGAAATGGGCGAACTACTACTAAAAGTGGGTTAAACACACAACGAGAAGTATTTGAAAAAAAAAAAAAAAAAAAAAAAAAAAGAAAAATCACGCAAGGGAGTAAATTGTTTTTTCGAGGTGGGACACAGCAATTACTACCGGCTTCCGGAAACTCGATAGTCGGAATTCACGATGATAGAGCGAAATGGGCGAACTACTACTAAAAGTGGGTTAAACACACAACGAGANAAAAATTCCCGGATACCTATCGAGTTTAAGTCGACTTCGAAAAGCAGGGAAAGAGTGAAATGAACGGAGAAAATGGCGGCAGAAAGGAAGAGAGAGTGAGCAAAAGAGAGAAAGAGAGAGAGGGAAAGAAGGAGAATATCGCAATACACGGAACATCGGGAACTCGAGTTGTTCGAGAATAAAAGAGTAATTTTCCGGGTGGTGAGACGCCGATAATGGGGTTGCAGACTACCGAGTCGACTGGAAAGTGATTAAGCACACATGACGGGGCCCGTGGACTCGCCAGGATATTACGAACCACCCTTTCCGATCCGCCGTTCTTCTGCGCTCTCTTCACTCTTTCGCTCTCCTCTCTCTCGACGTTCTTCTTCGTTTTCCACATTCCCTCAAAATCTCCCTCTCTCTTCTTTCCGTATTCCTTTCTTTCTCTCTCTCCCTCTCTCTCTCTCTCTTTCTCTCTCTCTCTCTCTCTCTCTCTCTTTCTCTCTTTCTCTCTTTCTCTGCTTTCTTTCGCAAACTATGCAATTCCTGGTTTTTTCTCGAGAGTCACATTAGTGAGCGTTTCTGTTCTACCGAATGCACGTTTCGATACACACAACATCCAACGGGCTCGTCCCCGTACTTGTTCTCTTGTATCGCTAACAGAGATTGTGTCCGCAATCGCAATCGCTCGATTTTAGTGCCCGCCTTTCTTAATCGATTGCTCGAAAGTTTCAATGAGAATTTTTAGACTACAGCTTTATAAATATCTTTCGTTCTTTGCGACAAAGTGTATCTATACGCGTAACTTCTGAACGTTGACGTCCAAATATCAATGTGATATTTTAACGTTGTTGTATCGAAAGTGTTTACATAATGTGTGAGTATATAGCGTCACATTTGTCATCTGAAGCAGTATAGGTGGTGGTTATCGCGTTGCACGCGACATACAAATTCACGCGCAAGATAAAATATCGGATTATTACTTTTACACGGGATTAAATTTCGTTTCGGCTACCATTGTTTTCACGAGCTCGAGTGTGCTTCGTTATTCAAATGAGATTAAAAGCCCGGGGCTGAGTGGGAGCCGGTCTCGTTACAGTCGAGTGGCTAATCGTCGTTATGCGAAGATCGAAAGTAGCTTCATCGTACAAAAAAAAAAAAAAAAAAAAAAAAAACCATCAGCGTTCGTGCATTTTGCCGTCGAATCGTTTTATCTTTTACCGCTTGTATTACAAATAACACACAGAAAATAAAAATAACGTACTACCGGAGGATAACAAATTTTAATTACATTCGTGAAAGGATGACAAGGAAATTTGAGCAAAGTATTGTTTAATTAATTTTATTACGCGCGAAAAAATGCAACTTTGGCGAAACTTTTCATTTTCGTTACTTAAGCAAGAGCTAGTTCAGACGGGCAACGGATAGTTTAACAAGGGACTACAATATCCCATGTGGTAGTTGAAAAACTCCGGTTGTTTTAACTAGATCTAGGCGTGTGCTTCGTTATCCAAGTGGAAATAGGATTCCGGCGACCGAAGGCCGATCTCTTTACAGACGGTCGGCTGACAGCCATTACACGATCGGGTATTGAAAGTGGCCCTATCCGGGAAAAACCACGCGTTGACCGGTATTTTGGGCGCTAGGGGACGACAAACGAGAAAAGAGCCAGATTGTCACGAGGAATATGCCTCCGGGATATGTTCGCCCGCAAACTGCAGAAAGGAACGGGATGGGAACAGAACGTGGAGAGTTCATCCAATCCGTTCGCGTGTACTGCATCTATTGACGGTGAAAAGAGAGAAAAGAGAAATAGTTGAGAGAGAGAGAGAGCACATATTGGCCTCGTCAAGCGGTTTCAAGCTTGCTGATATTGCGGGCGCTTCTCGTCGACCCTTATGAAGCCAATTACACTTCGTCTCGCCAAAGGCACCCCACTTATTCCCGCGTCCAACATTCCCGAGGTTCTCTTGGAGTCGTGATCGGTTCCGCAGCACGTACTAGTTACATTAGATACCGATGTAAAAGCGATATACCCCGTCTTTGTTGCTCAGCCTGCAATGACCACGTATATTCCTAATTTTACAATTTGTTATCTAACATTTTACATTGATATATTTCCAGCGTCATTTAAAAGTTTTTTTTTTAACAAATAACAATTTCTACAATTTCAACAGCAAAAGTTTGCGTGCGTAGTTTTGTGATGAAAACTTAGTTTTTTTAATGAAAAGAAATAGAATTATTGAACACGTGATGTGGATTTGATTGATTGCAATTGAGTGAAAATCAAATTAATATCGATATTATTCGTTTGTTCGGGGAAGCGAGTTACGTGGTGGTAAATTTCATCAACGATCGTTCTCTCGGATGACAATTCCTGTAGCATGTGCGACGGCATTCCATTTCGTATGTGTGTGTGTGTGTGTGTGTTAGGTGCTAGTTAAAGAGGGTGCGGTCACTGTTCAATGTCTGTTCTCTCGTTGTGAAAGAGAGAGAGAGAGAGAGAGAGAGAAAGAGAGAGAATTTTCGATTTATGTCGCTTTGTATATTTGTAGGTAAACTTGACAACTGAATGGAGAAAAAAAAGTTTCATGGTTATTTGAATAAGCTCAGAAATAAAAATGTGTTTTTTGTTACAGGTCTCACGAGAGCACCAATGTACCCTTTTTCAACAGGCCAGTATCCATATCCCATGCTTAGTCCGGAAATGACGCAAGTCGCCGCTTCCTGGTAAGTCGATGTATAAATAAAATATACAAATATATATTTGACATTTGAAACACAAAAGAGATTAAATTAAAATTTTCTATTTTTTTTTTTTTAGATCATACGATAGCGCTCTAAGTGCGCTTAAGAAACAAACGTGTAATTTGATAAAAAGTTAAATGTTCGGCGTGATATTATTATTATATGTAATATTTAATTATTTATATACGTGATATAATATATCTCGCGTGTATATTGGCGGCATCACAGTACAATATAACATTATCTCAATTTTTAATTAAACATACATTTGACCAGATATACGCGATGGAATGGGAATGATATATGTTCACTTTTTAGCGAGATATAAACGCGCGTGTAGACCGTTATTACCATAGAACAAAAATTATTTTACATTTCCAGAGACGTTATACCATTGTATATTAATTGTACGCGTTAAATAATCGATTCGCGCGCTTTACGCAAATGAAAAACTAATGGAGAGGATCGGATTTCAATCACGCGCTCAAACGTTTCTTGGCGATTTTGTGAAATAATACAGATTTACATTATTTTTGTTAAATAAATTTCAATTTTATACATTTTATTTTTTTGTGTTTTATAAATTCGACACGCACTTGACGCAAATCGCGCGCATCGCAAATTGTATACGAGAGATCGGCTAAATATTCAGCATTAAAATATCAGAATAATACGACGGTAACGTCGCAAAGAGTTCTCGATTTAATTTTTTTTTCCTTTTAGGGAAAAAAAAAAGTTCTCTCTCTAAAGTGCGCGCATTTGCATGATAAACGTTTCCACGGTTTCTCCAATTCGAAATAAAACACCGCCGGTTTCGTTAATTTCCTCTCTCGTTACTTTAATGACACTCGGAGCATCGTGATGTTTAAGGGATGCAATCTTTCAGCGATATTTTCATTTTTTATCACAACTCTAATTGCGATACATCGAGGATCCGTAAAATGAGACACGCGGATATGTATTACTCGTGAGATACATTCTCATTCGGGTCTAGTTTTCCGATAAAATCTGGACATCGAATATGGTTGTGGTGACCGGCTTTGGTCAGGCGCTCATCCTCTCAGTTCCGGTCTATTAGATTCGGATACGGATATCTCTCTCGTTGTCGTCCTTGCGAATCTCATAGACGTCACCCTCTTTTCGCGAGAAGACAGGTCCTTACGACCATGTTTTTCGTCTTCGCTTCCCGTGCTCGTTATTTGCTTTCCGCCCGAGTCACCCTAAATTGCGATTTTCTACGGACGATTAGCTTCCTTCTTCTCAATTAGAAGGACCCACGGTGTCTTTGCTGCTTGCTCGGGACGAGTTTGACACGCGTGGAAAAAAAAAAAAATGGCCCGACGACAACGACGACGACGACGTGCTGACATTGCGTGTACGGTATTTAGCTCTCGCGGCTTTTCAAGAGGATGGCCTACCTTTGAAAAGAAGGAAGGAACAGAGAGAGAGAAAGAGATGAAACTCTGAAGAGAGGGCCACTTGCGATAATGAGAAGCTAGGCGGCGTTTTTATTACGCGAAGTGCACGGAAACTCGGCAACTCAGAAACTCTCTCTCCATCTCTCTGTTCTTGGCAACGCGTTCGCGAAGAGGGCACGGACTAATTACTGTTACGAGTAGTCGGTTATGTTAAGGATAATTAATTAACTATGTTGTTTACCTAATCTATGCAAATATTAAATATCTCTTTTTGGTGAGTTATCTGCAATTAAAGAAAAATCTAGATCGCAAAATTACTTTTCTTCCAATCAAGAAAATTACAAATTTACAAAATAAAAATTTTGCAATTGAATGGAAATTTTGTAATAGAGTTTAGTTTTTTTTTTTTTTTTTTTTTTTCCACAAATGTAGAAAAAAAAACATTTCACAGGAAAATCTCTCGTATCGCGATGAACTCTCGTGTGACGACGATAAAAGCTTGCAAATGAATATTTTCAGGCACACACCGAGCATGTATCCCATCTCGCCGGCGAACGCTAGCTTTCGAAGTCCATATCCCGCGAGTTTACCCATCTCGAGTTCCAGTTTATCAAGGTCAGTATACAAGTATGTTTCGCACATGTTAAAAATATAAATAGCGACGCGAATAAAACGTATTCTCGCACGTTTTTATTCCGTCGTACTATCAGTGTGAGAGATGAATTTTCTTAAACGTTGTCTTTTCTGTCTTTTCAGCGATCTTTACCGATTTTCGCCGACCGGCCTTATGCCCCCGCATCCCGGCCTGAGTCCGCACGCACACGCATTGGCGTCGCACGCGTTGGTGTCGTCGGCACCGAAGACAGATCACTCCACGCTGGATCACAATCACAGGTTTGTTGCACCCCTCGATATCGTATAGCTGGCGACATCTGAATACCCGACGGCAAAGTTGGCATCGATTATTTCCTAACGTCTGACGTATCCTTCGTTCTCACACAACTCTGGTTTCGCTTTTAAATCATCGCGAACGTCACTGCGAAGAATTATTTCGTTCTTCTTCAATCGCGCGCAATTATCGAAACGCTTAACTTTGATTGCAACTTTGCCAAGCAGAAAAAAAACAGCGAACTATTATCCGCGGGATGACGGCGCGTTCCGCAAAGTCTCACGAGAAAAACTTCCTGACCACCCTACGATTGTACCCAGCCGATTCAAACCCTCGTATGTATCTCACGAAAACGAGGTCTCGGTAATCGATAATAAACCTCGAACAGAGTCCTGACAGTTACAAGCTTGTATTTTGTATCAAGCGCAGTGCGCGTCTGCTGATAAGGAAGCGTCGTTTACTTCCGAAAATGGAAAACGATAGTTACAGCATGACGCTGTAGGGGGTAGCACGTCCCGATTACCGCAGACCGGCGCGACTCCCTCGTCGTCGCGTGCAACACTCTTCTCTTCACCCCTTCGACGTCGTCGGCAGCTGGGAGAGCGTACGTATAACACTTATCGAATGACTCCTCCGCACAGCGTCTGCGCCTGCTTACTCTGACGCCGCCGCTGCCGCTGCCACCGTCGACGCCGACGCCGCCAGTTATGTATTGATCATTACCCTCTTAAACAGATTTCTAATTTACATTAGTACCCGGGTGATCGCCCGCCTTGCACCCACGTGCATACAAAGGCGCGTGGTCGCGCGCGAAGTACGCGCTCCGTTCTCTAGATATATACACATTGCGCGCAAGTGCGAAGCATTATGGTGGACCAGCTGACGTGACCGTACTGGTCCATCGACAATGCATCCTTGACCGCATCGTTAGCGCTCGGAACTCGGACGCGTTTGTGCGTCGTATACGTATCAGTGGCACAAATAATATCCCTCGCTTCTCACATTGATGACTCGCATCGAGTGGGTCTCAATTTTGATCTTGGTGAATAAATTGAGCTTACGAAAAATGCTGTGTGAAAGTAATAATTTACATATTGAAACTGCAAAATTTTTTTTATCTTCGAGCAGTTTTTATTTCAATGACTACTTTCAGTAGTTAGAGCTCGAGGACAATTGCTTGATAATTTATACAGAATCGTACGCATAAGATTTCTTCGTACAAGAGAAACGCTATAATATTCTCAAGAAGGATTAAAATGATATCTGAGAAGATAATTTGCCGATGTGAAAATTGAGCACAGCTGATCTATCTTGTCAGCTCGTAGCATCGCGAACGAGTGGCAGCAGGACATCCAGGGTTGATCGGTGGTCGACGGCAGCGCCGCAACAAGCCCGCCAAAAAAGAAAGAGTCACGCATACATGAGAGGAAGAGGCCACTGAGAATGCGATATTCTGCTGTGTTACCCCCCCACACGCAGCTGGAATTATAGAACCGATGGATGGTAGGATCGTCTCTCGTCGCAGCGAGAGCCATGAATCGCGATGATGCCACCCATCCCATAGTACCCTACCCTCGCGCAACCCCTCGTCGCTACTCGGTCCCCCTCGCGCACAACCCCCGACTGCCCCCAGACTCGCCGATAATCAATCGTCGTAACACCGGTCGGTGGTGATTCCGCTGACGCCAGAAACGAGAACGCGTTTGAGACGCGGCGGATGGTGGGAGGGATAGAGGGTATTACCGTGCGCGAGGGAAATCCGACACAAGGACACACGAAGACACGCGAGAGGAGAGAGAAATAGACGTCGAAAAGAGGAAACGACCGAGAGGTGCCGACGTGCATCGAGAAAGCGACGAGTTTTCGTGCGTGCGTGACGATCAAACGTCACGGGAAATCGAGACAAGAGGGTGCGTTCTCTCTCAATATATCCGAACGAGAAACGCTATAGTCCTCGGCGTCGAGTGAGATAGACGCGGGGTGTTTGGTGGGCATATAGAGGGTGGATAAAGGGGGAGGCGGGTGAGAGCGAGGAAAGAGAGAGAGAGACAGAGAGACAGAGAGTGAGTGAGAAGGGAGAAAGGGAAGCAGAGAGGGTGGCGAGAAGAGAGACGGCAGAAAGAGAGAGATATGACGAATGGGTGACCGTGGGATGCCGCCCCTGGAGACATTTCACCGCACGAATCGCCGGGCGACCAGGTCGCGTCAACGACTGGCGTTGCCAAAGCGGCGGCGGGCGGGCGCGGACGTGTAAATGAAACGCGATCAACAACGACGACGTGGCGATGATGGTGCCATTAGAAAGCACGTCGGACTCGCGGACGACGCGTGTCAAATACACCAGCAACAACTACGTACGTCTCGCAGGCTTCCGGATGTGCGAGGCCGCCTTCAGCGTCTGGTGGACCACTACGGACGGCGTGTAAGTGTCGTCGTGTGCGCCACTGTACTCGCGTACGTGCTGTTTACAACGCTGACCGGTTTATGGGACCCTCGCTTTACGCGCCTTACTATAGCGCGACACGAGCGGCGAGAATGTGAATGGAGAGTGTAAACTGTCGAATGCCGCCGGCGGATCCGAGCGAGCTTACTTACCCGGAAGTGCGATGTCGCGGATGATGAGCGTGCTGTTTCCTTGTGTTAATGACGAGCGAGCGAGATAAAATTGACGTGCCGGAGAATTTAACGCTTGAGCGATACATTACATGGACGAGAAAGAGAGAGAGAGAGAAAGGACAGGTTTGACTCGTTTCTGTTGTGATACTATTATAGAGTAAATTAACGCGAAATCGAGAGAATCTGCGAAATCGTTTAGAATTGTTTGATGGATTGGTTTGTTGAATCACTTGGTGGACGGTGAGCCCGCGAGTAAACACGAGGCAGCAGCCCATATGTGGCGATGGAGCCAGCCGAGTGTCTGGAACCGCTGAATTTGGTGATAAAAAAGGACGACACCGAGGACAGCGGGCCTTTAATCGGGGAGAAAATCACGGAAGCGTCCCTCGACGAGGAGAAAGACGTCGCGATCGAGGAAAACGCAATCGAGGATAACATGGCGATACTCCAGGACGCTGTCAAGTCCGCGGAGTCCGGCGGTTTACCTACTGCAGATCACAAGCTTCTGACCGCGCTCTACATGAGTAGTCTGATGCAGATGTCAAGTCTGAGCACGCCGCGTAATATCGCGCCGCCACCGTACGGCGCCAGTCAGCAGCAGCAGCAGAACTTTATGCAGCTGCTGGCGATGGTGGAGGCGCGACACCGCATGTGGCAAATGAACTGGCCGTTGCCGCAGGGCTTTCTCAGGAACCCGTTGACGTTGCCGCCAAACGCGCCGCCGTATTTCGACGGCGCGACGACGACGACGACGCCGACGCCAACACCAACGCCAAACCTGACCGAACAGCTGTCTCAAAATTCTACCGCGTCTACTTACCCCCTGTCCTGCGCGAAACCTGAACCTCTGAATCCCGAGACTAAACAGCCCTTCTATAACAAACGGTACACAATTACCGATTGACGAGTTCTGTAGAACAAATTGGCGCTGCTTGCGCGCGCGTTTATAAGGCTTACGCTGAGCACTTTTTTCTATGTATGTGTTGCAGGTCTACGATAGAACAGAAGAACTCTACGTCGTTACCTACGGACAATGCAAAAGCCCAAGACACGGGTCAACAAAACAATCAAGGTAAGAATTCGCGTAATTTGTGTTTTTACGTACGCAGGTAAAAAAAAAAAATCACAGTACACGTGGATAATCATGATGGTGCTGCAAGACGCGGTTACATATATTCACTCAAATGCTGTTTTGACAGATAAAAAGAAACCCCATATAAAAAAACCTTTGAACGCCTTTATGCTGTATATGAAGGAGATGAGGGCAAAGGTCGTGGCAGAGTGTACTTTAAAAGAAAGCGCAGCAATCAACCAAATATTGGGGAGAAGAGTGAGTAAACACGTTATACTTGGATATTTTGTAAAAAAAAAAAAAGAAAGAAAAGAAAAAAAATTCTACATCAGAGCAAATTTAAATCTTTGGCGTTTGATCGTTATATACATAACACTTTTAATTTCTTTTCAAATATATTAACACTTCGGAGAGAGAAAATATTTCAATTCCATCTTTTAATAGAATTCAGAAAATATTTCATTGGTATTCGGTTTAACGTTAAAATTAAATTATTGCTCTCTGATGTATGAATATTTAAAATATGCGAGAGCCAACATTTTCTTTTATAATTAAAATATGATTGCATTGTTTTGATCGTAAACTTAACATTTTGATTTAACAAATTTTGCCTACGAGTAAATTGATTTTTTTTATTGTTTTTTATTTTTATTTTTTTAAATTTTTTTATTGCACACAGACGAAAAATTGTACAAATATGTCAGTAAATCTGTGCGCGAATTTTATTCACTAATTTCGTTCTAATTTCGAGCGACAAGAGCGAAGAAAGTGTTGGCTTATCGAAGATTTTCAGATGAGTTTTTGTTTTGAATACACGTGTTACTGCATGCACTTTAATGCTTTTTTGTATTAAACGATTAGTCTTATCGGAAATACCGAAAATCGGAACTAACTAACCGTACCTACTAGTATCTCAGTACGAATAAGAGCATTGTAGGTGGGATCTAAGGAAATCTCGTCTTAATAGCAAAAAAAAAAAAAAAAAAAAAAAAACAATGTGAGATCAAAAGGGAAGGGCCGAAGGGTGGTTTTTCGCGGGTTCTTGTGAAGCAAGTCTCACACTCGTGCACATGTCGCTATTACGGTTCGAGCGAGCGAGAGAGGGAAGGGAAAGAGAGAGAGAAAGAGGGAGGGAGATATAAAACGGGGGAAACATTGGTGCACGGTGATAAAGTACTGTGAGACTGTGAATTTGTGAATCTCTGAATTTTGGGGGTGTGACACACAGTGGCACTCGCTAAGCCGGGAGGAGCAGGCGCGGTATTATGAGGCAGCCAGGCAGGAACGCACTCTGCATCAGCAACGATACCCTGGCTGGAGTGCTAGGGATAACTACGGCTATGGCAGCAAGAAGAAGAAGAGGAAGAAAGAACGCTCCGCAGATCCCACCGGAGGTACCACTTTCCAGTGCTAGAACAGCAGGCCCTTAATAATGCATTACATAATTGCTAGTATAACTACCTTATACTGGTTGATTGAAACGATCAAAGTCTCTGTACGTTTTCTTTTTTTCTTTTTTTTTTCTTTTTTTTTGTCGTATTACTTTTTTACATTTTTTTTTTGTCTTATTTATAGTTTTCTGACATTTTTTACTCTTTTTCGACGTGCAGACTATATATATATATATATACATATATATATATACACATACATATATTTACCGACATATGTATATCTCTTGAATATTTTATATATGTACATATATGCATATATGTATATTTTTTCGTTTTTCGAATTTAAATTGAATTGGATTGTCTGTGGGGATTGTGGAATGTGGCAAAACAGAGAACTAAAAAAAAAAAAGAAAAAAAACCAAAAAAGAAACTAGAAAAATAAAATTAAAAAATTTGAGAAACGAAAGAAAACGCGTACTTTCGCGACATGTAATACAATCTCTCTCTTTTTTTATCTGGCCAAACTCCCTAAAGCGGTATTCGTTCTCCGGTAAACCAAAAAAAAAAAAAAAAAAAAAAGGAGTGAGACGAGACGATCTATGTCACCAAATAACAATGCGATATCGAGTGCGAGAATGAAAAATCAAAGCCTTAGTTATGGGATGTCTGGTAGAGTCCGGAGCTTCTCCTGCTTTTTCGACTGTTTCTATATCTGTTTTCCTTTCTCACCGCTGGACCAACAGTTTTCTCGCAATCGCTTACCACAACCACTCAAGATGACTGCAACGATTTAACGAGAAACACTGCTCGCTGACGGTGTCTCGCTTCCTTCGAAATTTATTTCTCTTTCCTCATCCTGTGTTCTCCCATTCTTGTTAACGTCTATCAACGTGCCTGAAATGATCGTGTTTCTTTCGGGAAGTGACGGCTTTTCGTCGCGAGATCTCGCAACACCCGTTTTGCAACCTGAATAGCGTGACTCGCATGGAGAGGAGATGAGACAGGTGGCGAACGGAAATACACTGGAGGAATCTTGCGCTTCTTTGTGCAAAATATGTCGGTGAAATCAATCGAACGAAAAAATAATTGAGCTATTCAGGATAAATGGACAACAGCTGACTGTGGTTAATAATTCATTTATAATTTTTAGTTGTAAAAACCTTAATCAGAGTGCAATGAAAATAAGATTAAGTTTGCCGAAATTATGTTTAGAAAAAGTATACATATATATATATATATATATATTATAATATGTTATAATATATTGTATTTTTATCTTGACGGTTATCTTTCAGTGATCATGTTTTCTAATATATCAGCTGCATATCAGCAGCATCTTTAAGAAGCATGTTTTCTTCAGTGTATAACCAATGTGTTCCAACGCTACTCTTTTTTTTTCACTCTTTTATTTCACACGCGTGCTCCGCAGAAAACATAAAAAAAAAAAAATTCTTTATCGTCGACTTGCCGTGTCATCTCTATCAGACACCCTGTATGCTTTAGGTTGTTAACTTTAAGACGTATTTACGAGACATGCATTTACATTTTACGTATAGCAGTGCGACCGAGGGGGAAAGGACAATCTAGGCTGTTCTTCTAGCACTTTAAACGGAAAGTAGGGACCCCAGTGTTACTGAAATGCTATGAGGCAACGATTGCAAAAAATAAAAATATATAAATATATATAAAAAGATAGTAAACCAAATAAATAACAATAAACTTAATTTCTATCTATATATTCTAAATAGAGTTAGCTTTGATTTTAAAGAACATTTTTTTACACAATATTAGGGTGGCGGCAGTAGCATTAGTAAATCATTTTTTTCTTGATAAAAATATTGTTTAGTCTTCACACACGGTTAATGCACAATTACAAAAAGTGTTTGGTTCTCTCTCGGTAGTGGCACGCGCTAGGGCGAGAGGAACAGGCCAAGTATTATGAGTTGGCGCGACGGGAGAGACAGTTGCACATGCAGCTGTACCCTGACTGGTCTTCCCGCGCAAATACCAACCGAACTAAGAAGAGGAAGCGCAAACAAGACACAAACAGTGATCCTGGAGGTACCCATATGCCTCACTCCACACAGTCTTACAATTCCCCTTTTGTCATGAAAAGAGAGAGACCTCCCCCTGACCCCCTTCATTCCACTCATTATTACATATACTATTATATTATATTATACATTCTTATTGCTACACTCTACATTATGTTGCATGTTTTCCCCCAATCTTAGGGGTTTTGGGTCGATATATATTATATATATATTATTATAATACATATATATATATATATACACATATGAACTATATATATTTTTTTATTATATATATACACACACGAGCATACGTTCATATATATTTTAAATGTGACTTTATTATATATATATATGATCTCACACACAAATCGCGAATGCGGACGTGCACATACGCATGCGCACGTGCGTGCCTATGTATCTGCATTACACCGGGAACATATCTGACATTACGCACACGAATGACATAACACATGCACACACCAAAGACATGCATCTTATTATTAATTACGTATACAACTTTGGGGACGCTGGCCATCTTGCATTTTTACAGGGACCTACTTCGCAATCAGACAATCCTGAGCGTTTAATTTTCTCATAGTCTTATTACTCTTTCTGTGTATATATTATTTATCTTTATTCTCATTATTTCTCTCTCTCTCTCTCTCTCTCTCTCTCTCTCTTTCTCTTTCTCTCACTCTTTTCTCATTTATTTTTTTTTTTTTTTTAATATTTTCTTTTTGCGTTACTGTTATGTTTGCTCCTTCCTCTCTCTCTTTCTCTCTCTCTCTCTCACACTCACTCACTCACTCACTCTCTCACTCTCTTTTTTTCTTTCTCTCTGATATTCTCTTACTATCACTTTTTCATTCTTGTACTCCAACTTTCGATTAGTAAGTTTATTTTCCTTTGATCGTTTCAATATTGCCTGAATCCTTTGATTTGTAGTCTAATTTTATTGTTTTCGTTCTATCGTCACCTTTTTAATCGAATCACTCAGTTTATTCTCAACCCCCACATACAAAAATTTTCATTTATTAGTGCTCGCGTGATAGAGCGATCACATCCGTAATTGAGATTTTTTTCAGATATATTCTGAAGCTTGCGTTTATAATACAAGTCACGACATTTCAAACGATAGTAGATGATCTTTGATCGTGTTTGTTTCAGTCGTTTTTGACATTAATGTTGCATGTCACAAATTATTCGCTTGACAAAGATACGCGTCCGTTTATTTGGAGAGCGATGTAAATCCAATTATATAAATTTTCTTGTTGAGAGTAACTCGAATTAATTTCAGAGTTCGATGTTCGGTCGAAATTGATACTGTCTTAATAATGGATTTGCATTGCTATCCGCACAAACAAAAATCCTATATATACATGTAGGTTCTTTCCTGAAGACTATCACAGTTTCATTATATTCATTACTTACTAAAAGAGATATTTTGCGCAATTTTATGAACAGCATTTCTGTATTTTTCAACTTTTTTTAAATTTTGTTTTTGCAAGAAAATGTTATTCATCGATGCATTACATCGATGACATTTACAATGTCTTCCACAAAGATCCTACAATGTATCGTTGATAACCCTTGAGGTCAAGGCCGAAGTAATGTTTGTTCATTTTTTAAATAAATGCGTGTGAAATTTTGTAAATCGCGTTCTGTGTCTCGTTCAATTTTAGAAAGTTACAAAGGCATTTAAAAACTATGACTTGATGGATCGATTGTTGCGCCGGGATCTCAATGGGTTGATTACCACGTTCTGTTACATGCATGACTAGTTCGGAGATTCGTTGAATTTGCTCGACATTTACATAAATATATCGAAATTCGAGCACTTAATTCACGTTATTGTATATTACGATAGATTTTGTTGTTCGTTTATACTTGATCTTGTTCACAACAACACGGCACGGTTTGTCGATATATATATATATATATACATGTAATCTCACATATGTTGATTTTCGCCATCAAATAATTGTAAATTACTCGATTCAATTGTTGATCTTTCTCACACGATGAAAACAATAACGTTCAATAACTACGTCATTCTTTTGACAGAATGTATATATAGCCAGAGATTGAATAGTAATTTTGTTTGCAGATTGTATATCGCATTAAGCTCTGTTTTTCCCTTTCTAGGTAATAACATGAAAAAATGCCGCGCCAGGTATGGATTAGAGCAGCAAAACCAGTGGTGCAAACCCTGCAGGTACGTGTTCAGAGCTTTCTTTTTTTTTTTTGACTTTGGTATTTATTAACAAAATAATCGTCTGTCAATCCACGCGTATGATTTTTCACGACTCGCGTGTAAATACATGCTAATAAATCTTACGAAAGTTTGTGACCTGGAAATGTCACGTTCGATAACCATCAAAATTGTATTTGTTTCTAAATAAAGTCAAAATAGAGATAAAACACATTTCAGGAAGAACAAAATTCTGTCAGTATCAATCTGCGAAAGAAATCGCGAAATGGTTTTTTTGCGCGAGACAATAATTGTTTTAACATTTTGACAAAGATTTAATGATTTTTTCAACATTCCATGGCAATGAAACAGACGCGAGAGAGTAATTGTAATAAATAAATATTGTTTCGATGTTTGAGAATATATAAAAGCGATTGGATAATAGTGCTTGAAAATTGTGCAAATAAATCTAGATCGCGTGCTGAGAATTTCTTCAAGATCGCTCGCGGCATATACCGGTCACGATTTGTAATATCCTCGACGCTCGCTGGTCTCGTGTCGGTCTCGGACCGCCGTTCCGTCATCCACATGTTATAGTGGAACTGGAAAAAGAGAAGATGCCAATAAATGGTACATCTCGTTGAGCGTGCACACGTATATATCTTTCTGATGCGACGCAAAACACCGTAGCAGATTTGTCTCGTGTCACACAAGTGACTCGCGTTCGCGGTGTATCCCTGAAAATGCTTGCTTCCTGTCGAATCTGCAAGAGCGTATATAGCGAACAGAACGAGGAAAGAAACAGAGAAATGAGAGTGCAGTGCAAAACTGTGTGTGACCGTGTGTCAGAAAATGTGTCTTCCAAAAAAAAAAAAAAAAAAAAAAAAAACCAGAAAAGAATGAGAGAAGGGGTGAACGACCGAGAGCCTTCCTTTACTCGCGAAGGACGCGACGCCGTAGAGCGTCCGACTGTACTTGGCTTGTAAATATCGGTTTTTTTTAGATGCACATTCTTGTAGTTTGCCGCGATATCACGAGCCACCCACGTTCTTTTCTTTTTGTTTTTCTTTGTTTTTAGCGCCGATTATTCACACTTTTGTCCCGCTGTCACGGTGCAAATAGCCCAAATGCCCCAACTCCCGGGTTAATAAATCTCATGGACCTCATTAAAGGGGCGAGGACGAGAATCCCATCGACGGTTCTGTTTCCCACGTTTTTTACGCTTGTTTCTTTTTTCTTATAAAAAGAGAAGAGACTATATTACGCGACTAAGTCCCGTTTCGGAAACAAACGTTAGTTCGGCGCGAAAAATCACGCCAGAATCTCTGAAAAACAAACTCTCTCATCGACCGCGTGCATGGGAATGAATTAGAAAGAGTATCCAATTCGTGTCGTGAAGCGTGTAAAATTTATTTATTCTATGCGATTGTTTCACTCTTCTGGCTTATGTTAGTTCTATCAAAATCGATACTGCTAAAAAAAGAAAAAAAAACAAAAAGAGAAAAAACATGATCCTCGCTCTGGGATACATCGGAAGCACTTAGTTTGTTGCATTTGAATTTAGTTGATTGCACTCTCTGTCTCTTTCTTGCATTTTAATGCACGTGAAATTTACACTGCCGCCTGTGTGAGCCGTTATTATTGTGTCTTCGATTGTAACGTACGATTGTCGCGAACACTCGTGAGAAGTCATAGTTATAGAGAATTATACGAGACGTGTGCGATAGAACGCAGAGTGTAATCACGAGCAATTACGGCGCTATCAGGTGCACGCTGAAATAATTTCCGAAGCATATCGCGTTAATGCAGATATATTTGGGAGACATATTTTCTGATCGATATTATAATAATTGCCGTCACTATTATATATATATATTAAATTTGCCGTCTTTCTTCGTTCCACTTACGAGATCCAAGTTTATTTCAGTGTGGCCGGCAACACTGTGTGTGACTATCTGCTCAATAAATTATTGCACTTTTTCGCTGTCAGAAACGCCTTTTTTAAAATATATATACATATACACACACAAATATATATACGTACTTGGACAAGTATATATACATATTTGGACAAGATCGCTTTTATTTTAAAAATATATGTCAAGAATGTGACACTCGGTAGCTATTATTTCTCGTCCTCCTTTTGAAAAAAACCGAACGAGAAAGAGACAATTAAATATTTTGAATTAACACTGTATTCAAACTTCTTAAAACTTGCTGCGAGTGTTGCTGGAAACAGAACAAAAGATAGTCGCGCGAGTGTTGTTGAGGCTTTCAATTTCGTCTCCGCGATAAAAAATTCGGGAAATGACAATTTTAAAGAAAACACACATTCGCGGACTCCGCGGCAAGACACACGTGCGTGTGGGTGACGACACGATATGGTACGAGATTGAGGTGGGATTAAGTCGACGATATGTCTTAAGCGAAAGAGCGCCCCTTTAATGGCTGGTGGTTGGTTTTGGCAGCCCAGTGGAGCATGGAGCGGGGATGGGCATCCACGCGAGCATAATCCATCACGGTGTGGGAAGTAGTGCGGGGGCAGGAGTCGGGGCTGGAGGTGGTGGAGGGACGGTGGGGACAACCGCCGCCCCGCCAAACACCAACACTGCCTCCAATGCCTCCTCGCCTCAGCAAGAACCCACTTATGTTAATCTCTAGTCAAGCCTATCGCCTCCCTTCTACTGCAACACTTCTTCTTAAACAGTGGTCAGTCCCGACTTAAAAAAACCTACGGACCCCCGTCGGTCCTCGCTATGGCCGGCCAGCCGCTCGAGGGAGAAAGAAAGAGAGAGAGAGAGAGAAAGAAGAGAGAGAAAGAGAGAGTAAGAGAAAGAAAGAGAGATATCTCGAAAGATTTCGCTGTATCTAGTTTGATATCTGTGACAACTAGATACAAAAATCTTTCTCAAGAAACCTGACAATGAAATTGGCAACTTGCGTTAGATATCGTCGTGCGAAAGAAAGGAGAGCGAAGGCGCCATAGTGAGCGGCACGACGGTGACCCGTGATGCTCGCATTGTTTCTCATTGTTGTGGCTCTTTACAGCTTATTATTGTTATTTATTTACCCTCTCATTTAGTTGGAATTTACTCAGTGTTGCCCTTAGCATGGCTGGTCTGTGTAATAATTATATATATATATATATATTATATATTTCATACATATATGTGTGTTATATACATATATATATAAAATATGTATACATGTAACATGTTATTTTTTTTTTCTCCGATTTCGGAACGTTTGACACATAGAAGGTTTTTTATACATTCTAATCTCTTGGCATGGCAGTTCTCGTACGATTAAGACCAGATTATTATATTGTGTTCAGTTTTTCTTTTTTTTCGTTTTTTACTTTTAATGTGTAATTATTATTATTTTTTTTTTATTTTTCATAAAATAACGTGTTTTTACATATACATACATATAGTGCAAATAATCACTTAATGCACTGTTCCTTGAAAAAGAATTGCGTTGATTGACCGTATAGAATGGAATTGAAATTAATGCTATAATTTAAAAAAAAAACAAACAAACAAAATTTTGCACATTCTTGTGTGTTAGCTCAAGTCTCGGATTGCATTGTAAGAAACCGCGATAACAAAACATCTGTAGGCTTTATTCACATTATAGATACAGTCATTCATCACTGAATCTCTCGCACACAGAAAAAAAAAGTACTACTACTTTTATGAGGTGATATGTGTAAAATTTCTGCAAGACATTTATCAGCAATAATTGTATTAGATGAAGAGGAGGAAGAAGAATTGCCAGCTAACCGTAAGAAGAAAACCGAGTTATGCTTTGCTCGAATTGTGATGACCGAAAAATAAAGAAACAAAAAACAAAACCTGGAACATTTTGTAATTAGTAAAGTAAGAAACTTTTATCATTTTTTTAGATGTTTTTCTCATCTTTTAGATATAAAGATGGTAAAATAAGAGAAGATGGTAAAATAATAATTTTCAAAATATACATCGCGCAAAGTTTCATAAAGAAAACACAACATTTCGACAGAAGTAATTTTCTCAGGATAAACAAAATTGATTTAACGCATTTTTGCGACGATACGACATAAATATTTGTTTGAACGAGCTATGTGGAGATATTCACACTATCGGTTAGATCCGGCGTAATGATCCGATCTCATTACGGTCAAATATTCTTTTCGAAGATCTTGATTGGATGGATATCAAGACACCATATAAACAGTAACGTGAAAGGTTCTGCTTCTTCATTGAAGAATATTTGAGGTTTGCGACCGATTCCCATAGTGTGAATAAAGCCTTATAGAAAATTTACTGTTTCTCTATTTAGATGAAGAAAAATTAAAAGAAAGGAGTTGTCTCTTTTCAATATCGTGAATTCTTACGAAAGAAAGTAAGATTTTTCACAAACGAACTTCTTCTGATGATAACAAAAATCATTCATTTTGACAATTATCGATTGTTACCACGTACAAAAGAATATTGCAATCCAGCATGAGACTTTCGAATGCCGTCCGTTGTCGCGTAATCAAAAAAGTAATTTTAACTCCCGTAAGTTTTGTGTAACGCTTTGTGATCTCTCCAAGTGTGGCTGCGAGTTAATCTACGAAACTAACTGAAGCTGAAAGATAAATAATGAGAGCCAATGGCAGAGCGGCAAAATGATTTTGACTGCGAAGCAGTTTTCGGATGAGGTCGGACGGGCTCACTTTTGAAAATTGTGCAGTAGTGCCTCTCTTCCTCTTCGTCATCCGGAATCTATTACTTGATTTATATACATTCCACCATTGACGCGCGACCGCAAGCTTCACTTCTTATATACACTTTTTTAATTGATCGCAATCATTCCAAGTTCCACGTAACATACCGGTGATTTATATATTTTAGCGCGTCTCGTTAATTAGTCGTATTTTATCACGAATCGATATCGCGAAGAGAACGTTAAGTAAAGAAAGAGAAAATATACGCGGCGCGATTAACATATATCGGATCATCTTCTCGATCATCTCGATGTGAACAACGATTTCGTAGATGCCTGTCTGGCATTTAAATTAAGTTTTGTTTCGTTTTTCACGTATAAATTTCTTACATACACGTTATATGCTTGTTAAGAACTCTTGAGCATGGCATTTGCGAGCGAGTGATCAATATCAAGCAACAGAAGCATCGCCAGGTGCACAAAAATTTGTCATCCACTTGGGCGATTGATCGGAATATACGACACTTAACTCTAATCCATAAAGAGAGAGAGAAAAAAGGAAAAGTTGGTGCATCTGACTTTGCAGTGAGATGACGAGTAATCGCATGTTTTTTTAGTTAGTAACAATTATTCTAGATGTAACATTCTTTTCACGGTTATCATTACGCATTTCCATTGGTGAGAATTATCATTGAAAGAGATTTAAGACAAAAAGATATACTTTGTATAAAAACTTAAAACTCAAAAGTTAAGCAACATCTTCTCAAAATAATTTATTGTTATAAATTGCTGAGTTTCTGCCAACTTTCTACTGTTTTGCATTTACTGAATAATCTCACAGGTGGAAATAGCTGTTGTTTACACCACTATATTGTGCTCTCAACATGATCGAGCGCAATGCTAATCGTTCCCTGTCGTTATTTACAGACGTAAGAAGAAATGTATCAGATACATGGGGGAGGGAGGAGACGGCGACGGCGAAGCCGACGGTGAACCCGAGGATGACCACTCGGATCCACTAGGCAGCGTGGGTGAGGCAGGTACTCCCGAGGAAGACGAATCCCTGAGTAGTCCCGGTGGTCTGTCCGCGTTGTCTAGTCTGGCAAGCCCTTCGTTGGTCCTACCATCGCCTTCGAGCCTGGCTAGTCCGTGTCCGTGTCCATTGACGCCTCCGGTGCCACCTCCGCCTTTGCCAAACGTTAGCCAGCTGCCGCACAATCAGCAGCCGGTCACGACGACGATAACGACGGCGGCGGCGGCGGCAACGACGACGCAACAGCAACCAACCCCACCGCCTCACCGCAACCCCGTCGGCACGAATCCTCATGACATCAACAATCCGCTCAGCGTGAACCAATTGACTGGACAGTGTATAAAGAGCGAGCCTGCACCAGGCCCTTCCAATCCGGCGATCAGTGTTACGTAGCCCCGGCCGGACTCACGTGACTGGACAATTATTGCTCGTGGTGTCGTCTACGTGGGGTCCATTTACGTATGCACGCGACAAGGAGGCTGGATGAGAAATCACTTGTTACAAGGACGAAAACAAACAGATCGAGATTACTATCTGGAAAAATATCGCTTTTGTCGAACTTTGTGTCTCATGGTTTCAGTTCGATTCGAGAGATACCAGGTAGGGGATTCGAAAAGAAGGTATTGTACTTTCAAACCATCTGAGAATAGTGCGATGGTCTTCTTGACGGTTTGACTCGGGTTATTTGTCACGATGAAGGTTCAATGGTGGAGAATTTAAACGGTATTATTAACAAAAGTCAGGTTCGAAGAAGAATCATCGATCGCCGCATTGCCGTCATTTGTGAATACGACGTCGCCTTCGATCGTTCTCTCCTGACACTGCGTCTAGCCTCGCTTTGTCCGAAGCAGAGAGTGTTTAAAGATCGGAAGTAACAATCGAAGTAGACGTTAGTACACACGTGGTAACGAACAGACAGAAACAAAAACAGTACGATACGGAAAATATACTCAGGACCAAGTGTCTGGCTGTAGTCACTCGCTCAGCAGGAGGAAAAATGTAAGCGAGATACAAGCAAAAACTTGCGTATGCTTACATAAGTGCATATGAAATAGGAATAGGTAGAGGAAGTGTGCATATCCGATAATGATGTGACAGCAAGCTCGTTGTGGGTGCGCGTGACGCAGCTTGTAGTCCTTGTTACGTTGTGATGCCAATGACTGAGAAGGTCATGTTCCTGTGCCAGATACTATATTCTAGAAAAGTAATTTTATCGCGGACGCAAGTAAACTAGGGAGCGTAATGTTGAAGGAGAGCCACAAAACAAAAACAAACAAAAAAAAAAAAACAGAACAAAACGGAAGCCGGGTGCGCGCGCGATGCGTCTTTTTGTCACGAGTTTATTCGATTTTATCTCGTGTAGGTATCAAAGTATCACCTATCTCTTCTGTACGTAATTTGTTATTTTTTTAAAAGTCTATACACAGTGCGATTAATTAGCGTGTAAGAACTTTTATTCTATTGAGTCCTTGTTCACTCTATACTCACGTAGTTTTTTCTTTTCTTCTTTTTTTTTATATATATATATATATATACATTTCTGGTAGGATCATTATATGCGTATTGAATTTCTGAACTCTATGATAAAATATATGATCGACTTGTAGATCGTTCGAAAATCGTCATTCCTCGATTCTCGTGAATCGAAGGACAATTGTGGCCGTCAAATCACAAATTCGCTCTTTCGACAGAACGAAGACAATAAGTGCGATAAGGTAAAATAACCACAGTCAAGATAATTATTTCAGTAATAAATCGCTTCTCGCAAATCAGTAGTAGATTTCTTGTATTTATTTGACTTTATTTGTTTTGTTGTCGGAAAACGAACAATTCTTAACAAGACAAATTAAATCAAGAAATTTAAAAAATTCTAAACTAAGAAATAATTACGGTCATCCGAGCCGATCGCAGGATGTTGTGCGGAAAAAATATATATATGCAAAATAATATATATATATACAATATATATATATACAAATATATATATGCATATATATATATATACGTAGTTTTCCGCACAACATCCTGCGATCGGCTCGGATGACCGTAATTATTTCTTAGTTTAGTAACTTATCGAGCTTCAATAAGCTTTATTTGTTAAAAAATTCATTTTATTAATGTATGTGTAATACACGCAATTGTGAATTGCAGCAAATTACATATAATTAATTAAAGTTAATTACATTAAAATAAAACTTTATAAATATAATTTTTGAAAAATTAAATATTTGAAAGCAAGCTCGTTGCTGAATGATTTATTATTGGGACATTTATCTTGAGAAGAAAAAGAGAGAAAAGACTCTCAAGTGTCGAAAGACGCGAACTCGAGCTTCCATGCAAATATTGAGACGAGCTTTAGTAGATCGTTCACCTGTTCAGCATAAAAAAAAAAAAACATTGTGAAAATTATGATTCGTCTTGTAACATTAATTTGTTCTCTTTAGTATATTTCTAATTGGTTGTTTTAGAAAATATTATTTTTATTTCCTCATTCTCTTTGAACTGTATACGTGCTGTCACGTGACGTCTGCTGAATGTATTACGATGTCTGATAAATGTGTGTAACGGTTACAGAATTCGCTCTACTTATTGTTAATATCAATTCGTAATCCGTGTTTGCACATCTCAGATGTCATTGGAGGAATTTACGTTCCTCTGTTCTAAATTGTATAATAGAATATTTGTGTTATTGAAAAACAATACGCAACAAAGCGGTTATCGGAATTTAGAAAGCAAATTTGTAATGTTTTTTTTTTTTTAAAGCGTTTTGTAGTATTTTGATTAGTGTTCCTCTCTTTTTTTTTCTTTTTATTATTAACGGTGACATGCGCAGTCAGTTTTATTGTTACGTGCAAATGATGATGTTACGCAGACACTTTTATCGACGATTCTGCATTTTATTTCATACATATTTTAGTACTTTTATTTTAAAGCTGGGAATAAGTAGTATTTTGTTGATACAATTTTTTTTCGAAGTAAACACTTACTACTGTATTCCCCTTTTTGTTTCTTGCGACGCTCTATTTCAAAGATGGTTCGGAAAGTGATGGATTTATTAGAGGATTTTGTGCTTACGATTTTTTCTTTGCGTACGAGATAAACAATCGCATGTTCAATCTACAGCATGAACAAATACAGAATGCGAAATTCTGTGAAAATTTCCCGATGTTTTATTTATAATATATATATTACACATAATATGTATCGTACATATATTGAAAATACTTCTTTGTAAGATATTTATTACTATATATTCCCATACAGAGACATAACGTTTAAAATTCTATGATGACATGAACCTCCTCTGATGGAGGTTTGAATGTTCCGTGTCGGTAGAACGCGTATGCAACTGTTAAGCTGAAAAAACTTCTCTCGTAACTTCTCTAAAAAATCCATCACGACAATAGAGACACATTCATTCAAATAAAACAGAAATTGTACGATAAAAGATTGGCCTGTAAAGCTATCTAGTGTTTCACTTACCTCACCATTATTATTGATTTTTGACGTCACCATTTAAGACGCGTTAAGGTCGAACCTTCTTATTGTCATCACGCCGCCGATATAAGTCTTTGGGGGAAAGGAAACAACATTATCTCTATTGTCACCCTATCTCCTTCATTCCTACTCTTTGACAATATTTGACGTTCACAGCGCTTGCGTAGAAGTGAAACGCGCGTTTGATTCACTTTGCGCAATGTGTTGTAATTAAATAGCGATTGGTGTGGAGGAATAGCGCGGGAAAAAAAAAAATTGACAAAAATGTGAGATTACCGACGATGACAGTAGGAAGTCGCGACAAAAAACGGAGTGTTGACAATAGGAAGGAAGAGGGGGAAGTTCGACTGCAATTAATTTTCGAATGTTTTTACTATTTTTTTTTTTTTTTTTTTTTTTTATCAATTTGATATTAACAAAATAGAATTGTATAAGAATCGCGTGCGCCACTTGCACGCGTAATTTTAAGCATACCGAGGATACGTTCGCTTTTGAGCTCTCGCGCGCTTTGAGCGACAGCAGCCTATCTTTGTTCGAAAGAAGCAACAAAGACGGACTGTCTCGCTCAAAACGCGTAAAGCATCCGAAGCGAACGCACTCAGAATGTGTAATTTGACATTCTGTTGTTTTAAGCGATCGGCTTTATTTTTGTTATAACGCGACATATTTTCCGGTGCAATTTTACCGTAATATTTTTTATTACCATGTTATCGTATATTGCAAAAACAAGAAAAGCGCAATGAGAAATCCTATTATGGTTATTCTGTGAGCGTTCGTTTAGGGAACAATTTTTCTTTTGTACATAAAATAAATATGTTCTTTATACATATAAGGTGCATTTGTTGCGACGCATGGGAAAGTGCAATGGTGGTGCCAACGAGAGAGTGCGTGCGTGCGTGCGTGCGCGCGTGCATGCGTGCATGCATATGTGCGAGAGAATAAAAGAAAAAAAGAGAGAGAGACAGAGAGAGAGAGAGAGAGAGAGAGTGCGTTGTGTGTTCGAGATTGAAAGCATTGAGTACTGCTACACTGAGAGAAAAAAAAATGATTGCAGTAGCTCTTCTTCTCTTTGTTTAATACACACCAAATCTCATTAACACAACTTCCGGATTATCAGAAATTAATTAATGAAGAAGAACGTAAAGAAGATGGTACGAACGAGGACATGTCCTTCTGCTGTATTTGGGCACAATTAATACTTACCGTTTGTTCCGTAGCAAAACATGTTTCTCTCAGTGTGCGTGCGAAATGAAAGTAGACGTGCGAGTGTGCGAAAGGAATCTTTTCCCTTCTCTTCCTTCCACACATTTTACTCACCGTTTTCTTTTTTTTTTTTCCTTTTTTTTTTCATTCAATCTGTACGGTGTCTATTATACAGCGCGCACGACAAAGGCAGCTGTAGAAAACGCGACGCTGAATATAGCAGCAAACTAAACGTGCCATAAACAATATCATGCCAATCTTAGCGATAATGCATATTGTTTCTTTTTTTTTTTTTTACAATATGATTTCTTTAATCTCTCATTCTGTCAGTCGTAGAAAATGGTCCTGATAACACAAGTTTGCCCCCTCTCCTTCTCCTTTCCTCGTTACATAACTCCCCTCCCCCTTTCTCGTCTTCTTCGTTTGTCGATCGAACTCGTTAAACAGACTGAAAACAGCATTTAAGTACGACCCCTTCCTGCGAACGTAACGTCTAAGTCTCATTTTGATCTCGCTCTTACCGAATAATCTATGTGTTATTAAATTGCAAATATAAGTGAGAAGATATACGCGTTTGCCAAGTACTCATTTTCTCAAGACTGAGGAAAGAGAAACGTGGACTTCTGCGAGTACAGGAACGTTCGATCGAGGAACCGAAGTACCTACTTAGTGACAAATTACGGGGCAAGGACGACCAGCGATGTCTCACGAAGGAGACGAGCGCAAAATGAAAAAAAATCGAGGCGACGACGGCGGACCAACACTATCATCACCGGTTTATACTGACAGATGTAACCATTAAGAGAAAACAAGACTCGCAAAAAAAAGTCATACGGTGTTTGATTATTGTATGCGTGCGTGTATGCAATGATGATGGTTGTTGTTGCGCGAGGAAGGTGACGCGAGCGGAAACAGTCTTTCCCGCAATGGACAATCAGGCGCGAAGAAGAAGAATGAAATTTCTTAAGATGACTTTTCCGCAGGGATGTATATGTGACCCGCTCGCGTCTCCACTACCTCTCTTTTCACTTTGCTAGGAACGAAACCAAGCGTTGCGATGTTTAGGAAATACGAAGAATACCATATATTAGGGAAAGGAAAAAAAAAGAGATGTGTGGACTTTTAGGACACAGAACGCGATCCTTGCGGCGGGCAAACTCACTCGATACGGCCTATAGTCCGCTCGAGAGTCACTCGCAAATCTGCAAGTCATAGAAGACACCCCCCCCTCGCTGGTAATGAGGGTGTTGGCCGACGGCTCCGTTTGAGCCGACAAGATGGATTCCGAAGCTCGTGTCTCGCTTCAAAGGAGTGGTTGTACTATATTGTAAAGTATCAATCGACAGTTCTCAACTGCGTTGTACAGTGTTTTCTAAGTATCTAGGTTGATAGTATGTAATTGAAAGAAAAAAAGGAACATTGTATTTACATTAATAAGTGATCTGTATCAAATTCATTCTTCGTATAGCCTGTACTCTTACTCATGTAGATGCTAAAAGTAATTTGTGTCATAAAGAAAACTTATAAATAAAATTAGCACTCTTTGAGAACGTTGTCGACCAAGTGTATGACTTCTTTTTCCTCTTTCATTCATTTTCTTTAAGCTCTTTTTTCGTAAGAGTGACGATAATGATAATAACATCAAGTTTCACTTGAAAATGTAAACCGTTGTGATTGTCATTAAAATTGCGATATTAAAAATTTAGATATTTTTTTTTAATTAGATGTTTTTTCAATTGATGGTAAAAATATCTTATTTAATTTACTAGAGCACAAGAAAAAGAGAATGATACGCGTTATTGATTGCATTTAGACAAGCAACTACTTGCATCCGAAAAGAAATGCAGATTCAATACGTTAACCGCGTTCAGAGTGTACACATTCGGTCGCCTAAGATTGCAATTGGCCACGAAGATCTTGGCCATTCTCGCAACACTATCGCATTTGAACATGCAAGCAGCACCATCGAAGGTAGGTCTGCCCCGATCGTTTCGCGAACACGGATCAAACATGTAAAATTTGCCGTAGTGCTGCATCACGGCCACCGCCATATTGGTGGTGTGAAGTATTCCGGTGCAATTCCTGCGGAAGAACATGTTGAGCGACTCGATCAGGTCAAAGGAATTTAATATACCCGCTGTCGTGTGATTGTGAACGTGAATAGTGGCCTTGACGTCGCCTACGATGAAGACAGTCAACAGTTCGCTGGGCGAGAGGTTTCTGGCACCCGGTCGCGCGACTTTAGCGCTGTCCGAGTGCAACAAATCTCCGTATTTGAGCACAGCGTCTATTATTTCAGGTGTCCACTTGGACGGCACGTGTAGCAGCCCCACCACAACGGCAACCGCCGCGATCGCTGTGCTTTGCAAACCGCGGGTCTTCAGGTCGAAAACGCGATGATTCATGTGCACGGTGCCGCGCAAAACGCTGATCTCTTCATCCACGATATTGTATTTGTGCAACGGTTCCACGTCAAATGTGGCGATTGTTCTCGGAATGACAGTCGAAATGGGTGAGGCGATAGGATCATAGTACGATTGGAAACCAACCGGACACGGCAAGGGTTCTATTATGACGGTACTTATGATCACTCGGCAAATCTGAAAACTTCCGTGTTTCTCTTCTGGATCAATGCTCGCCAAGATAACGTCATAAAGTGGTTCTATACAGGCAAACCACATAACGCAAGAAGTTCCGTTAGAATCCGGTAAACCCTGATCGTTTTTAGCTCTGGGGTCGTACATGAAGTAAACCCCGAGATCTTTCCAGATGGCTATCATAGTGCGATCGACGAGCAAAATACCGGCGCGATTATTCTGGAAAAATCTCTGCAGACCGTCCGCGAGTAAGATTGCAGAAGGTGGCGATCTTGGTGTTTCCTCTTCGCGCTCTTTTCCTTTCTCCTGTTCCGGTTTATCACGAGGCGTTGTCGTTACCAAACCGCTCACAGTGTTGGGCTCGATATCAGAGGTCAGAATAGTGACACCTTAAGAGAAATATAGTTTTATATATTTTTTATCTTTTATATTTCACTTGTTGCTTTAAGATTTTTTCTGGCGCTTTTTTTCTTATTATTCAGAATAAATCTAAATAATAATCAAAAGAACGAAAGAAATACACATACCCACGCAGAATATCCTGATGATATCCTTCGGTTTCAATCTCGATGTGGTTGGTCTAATCTTGTTTGTTTCCTGATGAACGCCAATGCCGATTGCTAGAATCTCGTCCATGGTTTTTCTCGTCCAGGTGACTGGACTCTTTACTACTGACATACCGAGTGCGACGACGCAATTCGCCGCAGTCTGACGGCCCCGCAGCGCTTCGGGAAAAATGTTGTCGCTCTGATGATAATTGCCGCGCAGAATCGCTCGCGCCTCGCCCTGCAGCTTTTTGTAAGCGTTCAACGGAGGCAAGTTCGCCGGCCGAACCGCTGGACTCGGATCGAATTTCCACGGCGGCAATTTGCTCGTGTCCATTACGTCGATTGCGGTGATCTGATAGTCGCCTCCTCTTCCAAAATGACGCAGAAAATATTCCGCAAGCAGACCCGTGTCTCGGAATCTGAACAGCCGCGGTACCGTTGATGTAGCCTCTTCCATAATGACGATCCAATTGGGTATCAAAGCATAGTACGCGTTGTCGGCTTTCCATATTGCTGCGTTGTTATTTCGCTGCGCAGTCAGCGCGCCAGCATCGTATTTTTCGAAAAACTTGTCGATTCCGCTACGTAGATCTTGAATCTTAGGCGATTTCCCGTTCAAACTACCCGCTTGAACGCAGTCCTTGAGCGTCAGACTGATACGTCGTGTAGACAGAAAGAACTCATTGATGATCTCGTTCACCAACGGTACCAAATTCGAGCCGAGTCGCTCGACGCATTTCGAGTGCAGCTTGTCACCGGTTATTATAACTTCGTCAAGAACGGACGACGTCCAATATTTTGGTTGGTATACCTTAAGTAATTCATTTTTTTATTGTTAATACATTTATATGTACACGCAATCATTTCTTTTATTAACTTGATTTTCTCTTGTAAACAAAAGAAGTCAAATAAAATCAGATAAAAAATCGGTTTTAATGTAAATAAAAAAAGAAAGCATCTCTTGATGTAAGAAAGAGAAAAAAACCTTAGAAAAAACGACGGCCATCACCGCGATGGCCGCACTTTGATTGCCCCGATTTATTTCGTCGAATCTCTTGTCCGTCATACTGACGTTGCCGTCAATGTTCCAGACGCCATCGACAAGTTTCGGAAAATGATGCCATAGATCCTCTCCGGAAGTGGTTTTTTTAATTCGCTGAGCTTCTTCCACTCGCGTTTCATATACATTTTCGAGTGTAACGGCATCGATAACGAAATCGGTATCCGGTCCGATTTCTCTAAGAACATCGGCCAATGAGGAGACGTTAGTAAACCACATCACCGCTGCAGCTCTGTCTTTATCCGCGGTGTCACCATGAGCATCTCTGCCTCTGGGATTCATCGTAAAGTACACATCACCCTCCTTCCAAATCGGCACCATCACATTACCCTGACGGAACACTCCCATCGAATTCCCTTCAAAGAACTGTTCGAGCAATCTCGTCATTTCTGTTGTTTGCCCACCGCCAGATTCTTCTTCGAGGCTAACCATCAATCGATTGACACCTATTGTAACGTCCTCCGCGATCTCCGATGGGAGAAGATAATTTCTGGGCGATTCCTCTTCAGTCTCCGCTTCCGGTAGATTCATCAGGTTAGCGTTAGTGAGTTTGTCGCCGATCTTCAGAATATCGTCCACAAGATCGCGAGACCACAGATGAGGATCGTACAGTTTGCTCATGGCCAAGGTCGTCAAAGCGTTGGCAGCTTGTTGCTTATCTCTTGTCTGCCATTTGAAGGCCGTTTCGTTACCCTGAGTGATGGAACCGAGAAGTAAAGCGCCGTTGTCGCCCAAACGGGAGTAGTTGTTCAATTCCGGCATGATCGGTATTTGTTTGTCCGCCTCGATCTCTTCTTCCGTCATCGTCGTGCCGACGGTAACGCTCTTTAGCTCGTGTATCGTGAAATCGTTTCCGTATTCGTCATCTCGTCCGGCATTCTTCTCGATGAGATATGCCAAAGTTGAAAGATCCGAAATGCGCACTACGCAGGCGAAGTTCTCTTCGTCTATCTCGGCCGGCAATTCGCCCAATTCATCTCGAGGATTTGGATCGAAATAATAGTAGAATGTCTGCTTTTTTCTATCTTTGTCTTTGACCTCTTCTTCCACTTTCCACACCGCCACTGCGAGTCTCTTTGCTTCGACTATTCCATATTGCTTGTTCTCGAAGAACTGACGCAATCCCTTCTCCAAGTTGGGCAGCTCGGAATCTTCCGGCGCCGTTAGATTCCCAACAATCGCCGCTTCTTCGAGATCAACGGTCACCTTTCGATTTTTGAAGTACAATTTTTTCTTCAAGTGTTGAACAAGAAACGATCTTTCTTCGACTTCTTCCTCAATTTCGGCAGGTTTGCACCAGTTGTAATAAGCGTCGCCTTCCGTCACTGCCTCGTCGACAGTTTCACGGTTCCACTTCTCCGGTGGTGTTTCCCACGCGCTCACCAATCCCACCAACGACATGGCGAGACTCTGACGACCTTGGTTCTCCTCTTCGAACAACTCGTTGACGTTCGAGATGCCACCTTGCAACACCCACGTTTTACCTGGCGCACCAGGCTGAAATTCGTTCCAAGGTCGAATGCCGGGCACGTCGTCCACGATTGTGACGGATCTGATGACAAACCGATCGTTCTTCCGCGCCGGATCAATATTTTTCAGAAACAACGCGACCATCGAGTCCACGTCCGGAAATCCAATTACGCAGCAGTATCCCGCCTCCTTATCTTTCCGTTCGACTTCCTCTCTGTTCCTTTTTGCATCCTCTTCCCTGACTCTGACACCGGCGGCGTTGCAAGGTCGAGGATCGAACAAATAATAACAATCGTTCTCGCTCCAAATCGCCACCGCCATTGAAGACGTCTCGAGCACGCCCTGCTCGTTCACCAAGAAGAATTCCTCTAACGCCTGTTTCAAATTCAGTATCGACGGCATCTTGGAACTGATCGTGCCGGTTACGGTGACTATGTCAACGTCCACCAGTAACTTGAGATCTTCCATCTGGATCCTCGCGTCGTTAAAATCGGCAGCCGTCAACGTTGTTATCGCCGGTTTATCGGACTTGACATCGGTGTAAAACGAATCGCCCAGCATCAGAATCTCGTCCAGTTTCGTTCTTATCCAGGTTTTCACCGGATGCGCCCTCCTCATGGCGATGGCCATCAAGCAGTTCGCCACGTTCTGAGCGCCCTTGCCCTTGTACACATCGCTGCCCTCGTGAGTTGTGCCATGAAGAATCGCTATCTTGCCAGTTAACTCTTTGAACGTTGGCGGCACATTCGCGCGCATGGCGTCGTAGGAATATCCGGTGTCGAAACCGTTTCGATCTACTAGCGGCTCCGTGGCGAAGCGATGATCGATATTGTAATTGGAGATGGTGATGGACAGCGGTTCCTTCCGCATTCTCACAGCGGATGCGCGTAGCTTCTCGTCCCTGGGAACCGGCTTAGTGCAGTCGATTTTGTAGCTGTCGTCGTCGTCGTCGTCGTCATCCGCTACATTAATTGATCGCAACACGCTTCTTTCAACTACCGGTGGACCGGCGACATCGAGACGATCGACGAAGCCACGACCGACCTATATTTTATGTTTATATGTACTTCTATTGTGTTTGCTTAGTCTGTTTTCTTGCAAACATACATTGAAAATTAAAACAGAAAATATATATTACTACCATTATTATTATTTTTACCTCCGTCACGCGTAATACGGTGACTTTGTCGATGCAGTACCGAGAGTCGTAGCGCCGGTCCAGATTCTCCAAGAAATGGGTGCGCAGATCGTTCACGCACTTGAATCTCATCAAACACGCTGTACCGTCTGGACAACGCAGGCCGGTTTCGTTACACGACGCAGGATCGTAATACAGAAAAGCGTCGGGAGACGATTGACGCCACACAGCGATGGAACTACCCTGAGCGGTAATCACCCCGGAATCGTTGTCTCGTAAAAACTTCTTCAGACCCTCGGCAAAGTCCGAGCAGCCAATCGACTCGCTGAAAAGATTGCCGCGGATACCGCTGTCTTCGATTCCGACCAGCACCTTGTAAAAGCCGACGTAGAACTCATTGTGAACGAGACCTGTCTTCATGTACGTCCCGTCGTCTTTTATACGATTCTTAATCGCGCTCAAACGGAACAGCTTGTCTCCGTATTCGAGCACTTGATCAACGTGATTACGCGTCCACTCCTTCGGCTGAAACAAGCGACCGTAAACGATAGCAACTACCGAGCACGGTGCCGCTTGCCGTCCTCGACTTCTGTATTTGAATCGAAGATCGCTCATCGCGCAAGAGCCACAAAGGATGAACGAATTCGGCGTGAGAACCCGGAAGCGATGCCATCGCTTTCCAAAATCAGCGCGAGATGCAATCTCTCGTTTTTCATCGGTTTGCCGCGTCGCGTCACTCTTCCCTTGAGCATCGCTCAACTCGTTTTGGAACTTTAGAGATTTGCCTTTTGACATTTCGTTAGATCGCACTTACTCAGCCCATGGTAAAAATCACTCTCATCTCCAGAAAAAGAGCAGTTGACAAAAATTATTTTTACTTCTGTTTTTTTCTACCGATATTTTAAATTACAAAAAGTACTGAGAGACACGTAGAATTTTGTCACGCGACATTGCTTCACTTGTAAATTTCTAGGACTGGTTGTGAGATGTTGTGAAAAATTTAATGAGAAATTTATAACAAAGATCTGAAATTTGCGACAACTGTCAGAAGATTTGTTTGAAAGTTGAAACAAAACATATCGATTGAATGCACCGAAATAAATATAGTCTCCGTCATGATTTCAACTAAAACCCCATAACAAAACTAACCGCACTGTACAGTATCGCGTGTTTTGCTTGCCACTATACGATTTTATCACACATCAATATTACTATACTGTCAAAAGATATGAGAATTTTATAATCGAATGCATTAATGATGCTCTGCGCAAACATACAAATTTCGCATATTCAATGACTCTTTTCGTCTTTCCTAAGTAATAAAACAGCTGATTGTGTATAAATACTGTTTTTGTACGTACGATTGTGTTTTATGCAACACAAAAAACAACGCGCAAAGAAACCATTCCTGCATCCGGACATACAAACAATTGGACTAAAGTAATACCTAAAACTTTATTACATCAAAAGTATGAAAAACGTAATAAATATTATAAATACAAGAAGTATATGTATAAAGTAAAGCGCTTGAATACACAAAACTTGCTCTTTATTATAATAATATAGATATTTTCTTATACGTTAGATGAGAGAAATAACCATAAAGACTTTGTTTTTTTTTTTTATACATATATATATGCAACAACACATAAAGTAACAAAATCAAGTTGCGTAATGTTTTTTTTTTTTTTTTTTTGTAAGCAGTGTGCTCGTGAAATATGATACACGAAGCAACTACGTGTGTGTACTGCCAACAATATTGCAATACATTGTTTAACAGTAACAAAATTTTTTGATTGAAGCTTTCACGCAATGACAAAAGCTTTCTTTCGCTATTGTTTTCTTATTTACAATGCATATGTATGTACACATATATGTATATATTTATTTATATAATATATATATATATATATATATATGTATACATATTTAACTTGTCTCTAATAAGATTTTATTGTAACAAGTTACTAAAAAATATCTACACGTAAAAATATATAGATGTACAGTTTATATTATATGTATATATGTATATATATATATATGTATATATATTATATACACATGTACACAAACACGCACACGTATAAATATCCTTGCGCAAATATTCGTGCGCGTGCGTGTATGTGTTGTATAACATAATAATATGAACTCTTTTGTTTTATTACGTTTGTTATTTTTTTTTCTTTTATATAATAAACATCAACGAGAGACCCTTTCGTTAGCTTAACTGAAGAAGCTTTCCCCTATTGTGTGCGTGTTAGATATATCATTATTGTATGATACATATTCGTGCACGTGCGTACACGTAGACGTGTGTGACACATCGTCGTCTAAGCGCACGCATATGTACAGGAATATACGAAAGTATTCTTTGGCTCATACCTTCTTTTCTTTTTTTTTTCACATAGTTCTATCTGGTAAATCTAAAATATTCATTCATCTCATAAACGTCGGTCCAATCTAAGCTCTACACATCGAAATATTTTTTTTTTTTTTGCCTCATTTAAAGCGCATCTGCCCCCTGATGGGCGACAATAGAATCGCAAATATACATTACACGCGTATACACGTAGATAATCGATAGATACGTAGATAAAACGTGCAAGGCATATTCATCTCAGTTCGCATCTCGGTAGAATACACACATCTATTAAACAAATTTGAGTTTTAGGTTTGTTTAGTCCTTTTACTTACATTTGTCTAATCAGTTTTTGAGAATGCGAATCTCTGTGCGCAAGATGAAAGTCACAAAAAAACGAGTTCGCGATTTTCATCTTCGCTATCTGACAATCATATCTTTCGCGTTTTTATTTGTTTAAGTTTTTTTAATTTTTTTATTTTTATACACATCGTGCGCATATTTCAAAAATATACCGCTAAATACGGTCTCATCCGTTACAACTTGAATGCGCTGTGCAAACGCCAGCTAAAGTTTTTTTTTTATCACGAAAACCACATTGATGTTATTAAAATATATGTTCAACAGAGTTACACGCATCTATGATCTGAATATAAAGAAGAAATATCAGGTGGCCACAAGAGATACATCGTTCAAAATTCGGATCCGCGGTGTCAATCGCTACTCTACAGTTAGTTTACAACCGCGAGATCGCAACGACGATTTCTTCTTTTTTTGTTTTTTTTTATTTATCATCACAGACAGAAAAGAGTTAATTACGCTACTAACAGTATTATCGCGTTTTTCTTCTTTATCATTTCTTCCGTTATATCTTCCTTTCTTCAATTTTGCAATTGAAAAATAATTTCAGAAGAAGAACAACGAATCAGCTTCGTCCACAAGTTGGACGTTTTTCTCGAAATTATTGAATCAAAAATGACAAGTAGTATAAAAAGTTTTGCAAGTAAAAGTTTTGCCGTGGATTTGTTATATGAAATTTATTATCTGATCTATGTACCACAAAATCAAACAAAGAAACTCGTCGAATAATGATGGGAAATTGTAAGTGCGTTTCGTACTTATAGAGATTCAACAAAAAACCACGCGCGGACAGAATATAACAAGTCATATTTACTATAATTTAAATTATAATAAAGCATTTTATCCAGTATTTCTATACACACACACGCGCACACATACACACACGGCACATATAAATGCGCTCGCATACACGCGCGCACATACGTACAGACAGACTTTCATCGGACGCTCGAACGGTCGTTTACACTGTGTTTACTTGTACATCATTATCTGAGATTCACAATATCTTCGCGTCTCTGCGAGTGTTTGAAGAATTGTGACGTTCTCATCATCACTAAATTATTAGTTACAATATCTTCCTTGTTTATCATTTGTAAGAAAGGAAGTTAGGGTGGAGGGGCAAGAGACGCAAGGAATCGTATTAAAACCATGAGACGCGAGAAGAACAAAGGAAGAATCGTGCGAAAAAAAATGATTACTCATCGACTTCTTTATGCAAAAATCGCTATCTTACGTATCGCACGATTCTTGATTACATCGTCTTCACACATATATTGTATATGACAACATCCGGTGTATGCACGTACGCGTACAACGACCTTATTCCGTGAAAAACACGAATACGGCATGTATTTCGAATACTTTCTTTTTTTTTTGTTTTTTTGTTTTTGTTCACATTGTTTTTCGTTTTTTATTATTCTAAATATGATACTTTCGTACGACATTCAAATAGAAGTTGGAAGAATAAAGTTAAAATCTCCTCGAAAACTTGATTATGATGCGTGTGGTTGAGAAACATTCATTTCACTTTCGGTAAACTCATCTAAAATCTGCGACAGATGTGTTTGAAGCGACGATAATGCACATGGCAGATAATAGGTTCGAATTCCATCCACAATACAGATACCACATAATCTAATCAAGACACATAATCCTTGGTAATATTATTAAGTCTTTATCAACACTGATTATTATTACAATAATAATTCATACGTAATGGAGATCATGCCACCTCGCGACTCGGTATGTCTGCATTTTGGTTTGTCAATGCTATTATAAACTAACATTTATTATTGAGCGCCCCATTTTGGTCCCACGAAATCGCACAATCGCCTCTAATACTTGATATCGGCTATTTCTTTCTATATACATAGAACGAAGCGTGGAAATGTAAAGTTTCTGTAGATGATAGAAAATGAAGTGACATGATGAGGATATTTATATATCGCGCGAGTTTCTAATGTGTATTTTTGGCAAATTTTTCAATTTGCAATATCGTTTTTCATCGGAATAATTCGTGTCGCGAATGCAGAATCAAAAAAATAACGACTTTTATGTACTGGAAGTCAAGACGTTAGAATTTGATCTGAAAGAGATCCGTCTGGAGGAAAGACTTGAATTTTTGTTTGGTAGATTTATTTAAAAAATCTAATCTGACGATTATATATGTGTATATGTGTATATAAATACTTTTCACAATGCAGAGTTTTGCTCGAGTTTCTAGAAGAGAGAGATCACACATTTAATTTGTCTTACTTATTTACCATATTACTTTCGATTTGTTGTGCTATTTGAAAATATAAACGCGTTGTGTTTAATTCACCATTATATCGTACATATACTGACTCTATAAAATCTTCCTCCAGTCGAATCTTCTTATGACATATCTGCTAATGTAAGTTTCATTCGTCGTTCTCTACTTATTCTTTTTTTTTTATATTGTATGTATAAATCGTATAAAAAATCAAGCAAAAAAGTAAATTTTGGCTGGACTATAACTTTTTACATGAAGGAGAGCACGAGTATTGCGTCGAGTTGTTTCACCGATGGATTGAGAAGAAGTGAACGACACAAAGCATCATATTCCACAATAAATGTGTGTCACTCTACGATCGTACGTCTCACATATCTTTCTTTTTTACCAGAGGTTGACCTCCACATGTTAACAAACTTTCATATATACATATATATATATATGCATACATACATGTGTAGGTGTTTTTTATATGTATATATGTATGTATATAATATATACAACACAAAAGAGTAACTCATTTGTTTTTAACAGCCTCTATCGTGAAGTTAGCACAAGTATTAACTATCTCGATTAGGGTGTTTGGCAAGAAACCGTCGAGGCCAGGGTAGAGGCCAGTCGTATTGTCGTGGCACCGGACCGCCTATATTCTTCTCGAAATATTTAAAAATGGAGAACCACCAGAGCCGGGCCAAAAAGTTATTTGGTCCATATTGCTGCAAATTATTTAATCGTTTTTTTTTTTTTAAACGCAAAACAGCAATAAATCAATTACAATCGCAAACACGAACGTGCAAGTAAAATCATACTTAAATACTTTACACATTTATTGCTATTAATAAACTTGTAAAAAAAACTCGCAGAAAAAATTTTTCATTACAACAGCGATCAAAGCGAGAACGTACCTTAAGATTCGAGTTGTTGGCTAACGTGTGATAAATATACCACACGCGTGTAGTAACGTAGTACGCTATAAGTACATCAACGGTGTAATGGCCGTGAGCTACCAGGACCATAATCACTCCGACAAATACCGATAGACCTGCTAACCAATGGATTGGTAGACACCGCCTAGGAGAATCTGAAACGCGATAAACGGGTCGTCATAAAATTAATCCCGTTTGTGCGCAATATATATTTGTTGAGCGCGTATGACGAGGATTACGTACATTCCTTAATGATCAGGTAACTGAGCACGAGCACGACCGTATGCCCGCTGTAAATGTAATCCCCGCAATAAGTGTGTTTGCCGTTGATGGATAAACCAAAGCCGGAAATTAGCTGCAGGACCCTCTGTGTCACGAGAAGCGGACTGGTGTTGTTTGCCTTCGGGCTGCAGTAATAAGTCTTACTGGCGATCGGTAAGACCGTCACATACATCGTGATGCTCCTCATCATGTAGAGTAATCCCATTATAAGAAAAATTCGTCTGACTACTATAAATCTGCGATACAAAGAACAATTAACTGTTGTCAGTCTCACCGTTCTTAGAAAAGTTGTGCACAGAAGAGATATCTCGTACGTCTTACCTATGCTTATGGAATATAATGATAAACATTGCGGAATTGGACATAATCATGATAAGAACCTCCGAAACATTGAGCGCCCAATCCTGAGCGGCAACGTTGTCTAAGACTATGTCGGGAAGCGGTCCATACGTATTTCTATCTGGAACGCGCTCGTGCACCATCGCGAGGGAAGCCGTGGTTAGTATGAAGTTCACGACCATAAAGAGAAACGCTGTAACGGAAAGAAAGTCATACACGTCATCGCATTCGCTCTATTCAAATGTAATCAGCATGCCATTTTTTTATCGTACGCCATTTCTTTCGTCTTGAACTCCAAGTTGAACAGTCGCTGTTAATTGATTTTGTCACGCAACGACTATTCGTGCCCTACAACAACAGTTACACGTAACGGTATCGGAAAAATACGTTCCACACACATTTGCACGCATTTTTTACGCAAATATTCGCTTGTACTTTGCTTCGATCGGCTCTTGAAAAGCTCGCCGAAAAGGAAAATCGATCGGGAGGAAGTTCGTTCTCCGTAGGATCAATGCGCGCGAGAATACGTATATCGAACCGAATACCAGGCCACGCAACGACCTCGATCTCGATGGAACTCCCCGTTCGTCTGGCGAGCGAACGTCACGTACACGCAGAGTGGTGGAGGTAATACCGGCAAAATTAGCTAGTAAGCTTCTCAGCATCCGTCTTAAATAATTGCCTGCAAATAACTCGTTCCATGCTTATTACGAGAGATCGCCGAGATGTTTACTGAATAATGAAACCGAAGAACTGATAAAACGCACCGGTCGTATTGCAAAGACCATTCCGCGTCTCTGTTTTTTTCGAGTAAAATTTTCCATGATATTTTTATAGTCAAGAATACTTGATATTATTTAACTAATTAGAGGAGTTAATATCAAAATGTCTCAATGTTACAATAATTTCTGAAGTATTAATGTTTTTTAATGCGGCAAATCTTAAAGCGTTCAAAATTCGCGTGTTTAGTAATGGTAAACAATATTGATCATCGATCTATCTTTAATTACATATTGCCGACTTTCCGTAGCAAAATTTTTAAACGTATCTTCTTTCTAAGACAAGAATATAAATTTTTTTTTTTTGTTTACTTACATTGGAGCGTTCTATCTAAGAGAAAAATCTATTTTCTAAGGCAACAAAATTTGACTTGTTCTCCCTTACCAAGGAACGTTTTCCACTTTTCTTTGGGGAAGCGCGGCTCTTCGCGAAGTGGCGCCGGTATGTCGATCTTGACGATGCCGCTTCCGGAACCATTTGGTAAACCGGGGTGTCTGCCCAGGGTCTCGATGTCCTTTTCGTCCTCGTCATCCTCGTAGTAATCCGATCCCGAGGCCACTCCGGACCACTTGTCTTTGCTCTTGGATAACGGCGCGCCGGGCAACAGCGGCTGCCGTTGGTAAACGTCGCTGGACTGTGCCATCCCGCTGCTGCTTCCATCAACTGCCGCCTCAACGTCCCTTTCGTGACCCTCCCCAGCGCCCAATGGCCGATCGAAGCTTCCGTAATCGCTATGCAAACTAGTGGCTTTGGGGTCCAATACCATCCTGCACAGAATGAAATTCAAGTTGTCCCGTAGATACCATAATTGCGTAGAGAAATCGTTTCGCTAACATCATCAGCGATAAACCAGAGAAACGAGAAGACGATAAGCGCGCGACAAACTCGACAAAGACGAAGCTCTATAACTCTGCAACTGGCACACCACGTGCTACTCTTCATATTTGTATATAAATACTTCTTTTATCTACATGTCATACTTTTTCCCGTAGCGCGGCACATCGTTTTTTTCTTGAAACTATTTTATATCACAGTTTATCCAAGATATATACAAGACGGGGTTTCCAAGTTTATAAAGAAATTAATTGCACTCGAGACTTTGATATTGTTTCCAATTCGTTTACTCCCGATACGTACTTGACTCTCTTCTCACATTACCTGACAATTTAAAGTGTAATCTCCTATAAGGTCGACCGATCGCTCGACAATTGTCGCACCGATAAAAGCTGATATTACACGTGACACAGTTTCGCGGACGGCGCGCATTTAACGCGGAGCGGCGCCCATCATTGTGCGCGTCACACCCCGTAAAGCGTGATATTTTTAGACATTTATAACCGCATAAAGGGAAAGGTTATCGCGAGGAAAGAAAAAAGACGCGAATTCTAAATCCGGGCTAACTGTGACGTGACGGATCCCGATCGGACGAATCGGTCGACGCTATCTGCGAGGCAGAGCTCGAGACACTCCGCGATAACAACGTCGAGAATCGTATGTGAACAGGCTTAGGTAGCTTCCAGTAGTGGTGGCAGGATATGACCGCCAAGGACTGGGTATTACCAAAGAACACGCGTTTTCGCGAGAAGGTGACTATTAGTCGAACAAAGCTGTAACGTGCGCAACAACAATAAAACTTTCTTTTATTTTATTTTTTTTTTTTTAAGCAAACCTTTGACGCGTTTGCCACATGCTTTCCATCGCACGCCGCGAGAAGGGTAATAATCAAAAACGACGACGTATACGACCAGCGTCACGTGATCGTAAAGGGACTTCATATAATAACATGTTACATTTCGACAAATTATCACTCGTCAAATTTTTTCAAACCGAAAAAAGATCGTTAAAAGATCGTTATATGATCGTTACTATAACAATTTTATATATCTTTTTATATGTGAATTTTTTCATTTCCGCTTCTTTATTTGTTATTTATTTATCAGTACCTAAAATAAAGCTACATTTCGATAAATAATTTCAATATCATAAGATATTAACGAGATTCAAACGTAATGTCTTCGATTAGCGAGTATTATCGTGCCGGATGCTCGAAAACGTGATGTATCAACCCGCTATGTGAATGTTTTAACATCAAGGACTGTCGTTGATAAAATGCGCGATTTCGTGGGAAAGACATCGGCTGTTTCGAACACCTCTGCGCCTGATAAACTCGGAACATTTGCGTTAAAGCTAAACATCGTCTGTGTTTATCGAACGATTTACATGTCCGACGATGCAGAAAACGATGGTTTGCACTCAATGCGGTCTCTACAACAACATTCGAGAATAAATATTCTCGCGTGAAGCGATTTGTGTTGCACACACAATTGCATAATTGCAGCATGTCCCGATGAGAATTGAGATAGAAAATTTTAAGTAAAGAAATAACATTCTTGCTGTGCACTTATCTAAATTAAAATTTCGTTAAAATATCCTCAAAATACTCAAGAGAAAGAGAGAGAGAGAGAAAGATATATTATTTTTCTTTTGTAAGAAAAATAAAAATAAAAATAACAAATGTTAATATAATTTCCATACGTGTCATCAATTTTTTTTCCGAGCAAAATATAACAAGAAATAAATAAAATGATAAATTTAATTAAAATGTTGCACATAAGGTTGCGCAAGAAACTAATTTTCACGACAAGAGATTAAAAAAAATTATAAATTTTGTCATCTTTTAACCTACAATCTAATTTAATTTTAGAACTGACAAGATTTGCACGGGGTAAAGGGTTAGTTACAGAACACGGATTACACAAGTTCATTTGCATAACGATGTGGGTGTTGTGGACGTGGTGGTTGTATAGGTGTTATATAGAACAACCTACATTGTCCCACTTGCTACGCAATGTCTGCGTGTGTTGTGCCTCTGCTTTATTCTAAGTAGTTTACAAAGTTCATTAGCACTGCACTCTTTCGTCACGCATACGCTCTTAAACTTAATTTTCTTCGAAGCTCACACACGGAGAAAAAAACTTCGGACGTGCGCAAAATTTGCAGTCACGAGAACTAATACAATTCAACAAAATTCGTATCTTCCCATATTGCTTTTGTATCTTTAATTACTAAATAAATTTTAATTAAAAAAAACTTGATTTCTGTTTTTTTTTTTTTTACTTTAATTTTGCATATAAAAGAAGGATTTCTGACACGCGATATAAACTTTTTAAGATAGATATTATTTATTTAGTTAAGTAGACGCTACTTTAGTTACTTGCGCGCTCTAAGACTTTGTTATGTAGAAGAGACTCAATAAAGTAGTTTTGCAACAGGTGAACATTTTCACATAACTATCGAGAATATATGATAACACACATCTAGCCGCGATTGTAATCCATTAGTGCGGAAGTACGACAAGAAATTTGTAACAACCAATCAGTTTTCGTTATACGTCACTTATATTGCGGCGCGTATTATCAGTATATAACAATTACAACACTTTACACATACTCGCGGCTTATCGTGAAACGTGAATTTTTGCTGAAAAAGTTTTATCGGGCAATATAAATTCGACGCAAAAATGACGAAAAACTTAAATGTCGGCAAATCTCGCAAAGAGCAAAATTAATTTACGCTATTCTACTGATCAATGAGATTATTAATTCGAGTTGCACACACGAGGTGCAAAGTTCGCATTTGTCTCAACAAAGGGAGAAAAGTGATTTACGATCTCTCGCCGACTACGTTTATCTCGCAACGATCGATCATTCAGTAGGTACTCGCGAGCGATTTACGTAATTACGACCGGTAGTGTAGTGGCGCGCTTATCCCTGATTTTCGTGCAACCGCCGATCCGGACTATGATTCCTGCGATGCCTATATTTTCGCGTTTGCAATATCGCGCCATGCTTTTAAATTAAATGCCACTCCCGAATTGCTATCTCATCGCGCCGGGGTTGCCGCAGAATTTCCCGACCGCGTAATTTGCGACGTACTATAATCTGTCTTTCCACCGGCATAACGGCGTAAAATAGAAAATTGCATCTGATGCAAGTTTTGCGTTTCGCTGAATTGTAAAGCACGAAAGACCTTCAAAACGAATGCGATTTCTACTTGCGGAAATATAAACTTCTATGTCAAAAAGAATTATTAAAATTTTCTCTTTTTTTCTCACTGAACTTTTTTTTCTGTATTTATTTTATTTTCTTTGCGACAACTTTTGCTTTTAACTGAGGAATTTTCCAGAACAATAGAAGTCACACTCACATTTTATTCTTCTCTCGAGAGATAAATACACATTCCTTGTCACAGAGTCACGTAAACAAAATTTACCACAGAATAATTTTAATCGCCGCCTCTAATAAACGATTCGATAATCACGGAAAATTCATATTTTCAACGACATTCTCGCAATCTTGTTCTCATATGCTGAGATTTTAACTCATACACTGAATAATTCAGAGAACGGTTCTTTCAAAGCGACGCTGTGAACAGTATTGATTATTGTATTACGTTTTCCACGAAAAAGTTTAGCACGCTTTTTTTCGTGAACTACTCAAAGGTTACGTTCCTGAGAAGTAACATAATATTCAGAAATATTTGGAAGATAGATATCTGGCAGGAAATTAATGCGCAAGAATATATTTTTTTATTATCTTCTAGAAAATTTTCTCCAGACATTTCGATTCTGTCGGGTTTTTTTTGCAGTGAAAAAAATTACGTAAATATAAATAATTTGTAGTTGATGAAGGTGATTATAAAAAAAAAAATATTCTGTGACTGTAAAAAAAATATTCCTTAATTGACGTGCAAGAAATAAAAATAAATGTAAATTTAACCATATTTAAGATGTAAATGTAAAATGTAGCATATTTAAGATGTTGCTCACCAGATAGACATTTTTAGTATATCGTTGAGTCAATATCGCGCAGTGATGATAGAAAAAATAATTTTTTTATTTACTGCTTGACGGCTCAAAGAGTAATAATATCTCTTTATATACGCCCCTCTTTTCTATTAGATTAGATGTATCATATTTCTGCATGTTAGGTTGATACGATAATACGATTCGAATTTCATGCGATATAAATTATCGGCTAATCTTTCCGCCATAAACAACCGATATATATACGACATAGAAGGTGTTACGACATAGAAAAACCGCAAGAGAAATCACAGGGTATTCTTTAAAATTTTAAATCGTTATTATTTCGAACCTTTTGATTAAGTTTTTTTATTGCGTGGATTTTTATAATTTTTCAAATTTTGAATACACGCGTAGTAAACGTCTTGGTATGTGAAACCGCTGTAAATTAGTAATGAACCGTCGTAACTCGTGACTCATTTCCCTTTTTCTTCTGACTGATTCACAGCGTGCAGTCGACGCTCTCAATTGATTTACGAACATTGATGTAAATAACTGTACTGACGACATCGAATTATTAATTATCGCATAACGGCGACAATTTATACAATACCGTAAGCAAATTTATGTCTGCGAGGAAACATGAAAAGTGCAAGACTGAGACAAAAATACGATCGATGTATAATTTATTGACAAATTATTAAACTTTTAAGTCGTAGAGAACTCCTTTAAAAATAAACACATAATTTAATAAAACAATGCAAAAAAATGATTAAAAAATTAAAATTATAATGTAAATTACACAATTTAAAAAACTTATATTTTATAATTGCATTTTTCTATCTTTAAAAAAATTATCTTCTCTTATAACGATACAAAATATTGTATTTTGTTTGTTATATCTTGCACACGTGACCTCACACACATCATGACACAGAAATATCTCTAGTTTTTACCAGTGAA